ACTGGGAACGCTTTGAGCTGATGCTCGACTCGCATCAGCTGATGATCAAGGAGCAGGTAGATGTCCTTCGTACTGGGCTCGAGAAGAAAGCCGACGAACTTGAAGCTGATGCTGAGCGTCTACACGCCAGGTTTGTAGCAACTATTCAGTTAAGCAATCAAAGCAATGAATTTTTACCAAAGAAATACAAAAATATCGATTCTTCTACGAAAAACGCTTCATTTTCGACCAAAATGCCATTTTTAAAGCTTTTTCTAGGTTTTTTCCAGATTTTCCAATCAAAATATAGCTAGATTTTGCTAAAAAACTTTTAAAAATACCTACTATTACGTTACTAGGCATTTCTGGGCTTTTAAGTGACCCCCCCCCGATATTGCCAAAGAACCGAAAACCCCCAATTTTTAGGTGGGACCAAGTGAAGCCGAAAAGCGATGCCCTCGCTGGTGGTGAACGAGACGGACTTCAACAAGCCATGTCCACAATAGCTGAGAAAAAGGCTGAACTTGACGAGCTACGCGCCAGAAAGGAGAGGCTTCTCGCGGAGTGCACCCAATTCGGCGAGCCAGCGCCTTCGCTGGCTCGGCTCGGAAGACTCGAGGAGGAGCTTGGTGCTTTTGCTGAACAATGGCTGCCAATCCAACAATTCCACGATGAGATGACACAGCTTGGAGATGAACTCTGGGTCGTGTTCCGCTCAAAGACCTACCTTTTCGACGAGTTCCTGCAAAAATGGGCCGATCAGGTGATTTTGTAGTTTGTAGTGACCTAATGGAAATATGCCTTTCGAAAACGTCGAAATATCAGAAAGTCGAAAAATACCGAATTCCTGGCACTTGTGCATTAGCGGGGGACCTAGCTTTGCGAATTCAGTAGCAAATGTTGCTAATATAAACCTACCTTTTCGACGAGTTTCTGCAAAAATGGGCCGATCAGGTGATTTTGTAGTTTGTGGTGACTCAATGGTAAGAAAGGCCTATTTTAAAACGTCGAAATATCTGAAAGTCGAAAAATACCGAAATTTCCGGAACTTGTGCATTAGCCGGGGACCTATCGTTTCGTTTTTAGTAGCCAATTTTTCTAATATAAGCCTGCCTTTTCGATGAATTCCTGCAAAAATGGGCGGATCAGGTAATTTTGTAGTTTGTAGTACCATTTAACTTGTTTTCAAAAAGTTGAAATGTATAAGGCGATTTTGATAAAGTGAATTTTCAAAATGCCGAAATTTTGGCACTTGTGCATTATCGGTGGGCCAACTTGAAAGCGGAAATTAACTTTTTAGAAACCGTAAAATTTTTGAAGTATCGAAATGTCATTATTGTGATATTTAGACACTACGAAATTGCTTGTTTTTGAATTTTCGACGATAAATTTCGATATTCTGATATGTCGGTATTATGAAATTTCGACGTTTGCTATTTAACTCTTTCAAAATTTGGATATATTAGGAACTGCGAAGTATTAAAATGTCGACATTCTGATATTTCTACATTATGACAGTTTCTACGTATTTTTAAAATTCGGCCGTTTTTCGACATTCTGTTATTTGGAAATATTAAAATATGGATATTTTGATATTTCGACATTATGAAATCTTGACAATAATTACGTGATTCCGATATTTCGATATATCAAAATTTCGACACTGTTAATTTTCGGCATTATAAAAAAAAATATATTATAAATATATTATATTATATTATAAATATATTATAAAAAAACAAAAATGATAAAAATAAAATTCAGGTAAAAGGGACGCAAAGCCCGCTGCTTTTTCGACTTTGGAAAGAGGTGGAAGGGCTTCGAGAATTCGCGGGAGCCCTCAAATTCTGTCGAGGAGACCAGCTGAGCCAAGAACATTGGGTGGAACTGTTTCGAATGGTCGGCATTCCACGTGGGACAACAATTGAGGGACTCCGTTTTGGTGACCTTGTTGCTGTCGCTCCGTCAATTCTCTCACATCTCGACGAGTTGAAGGCGTTAAATGGGAGAGCGCATGGAGAAGTGGCAATAAGGGAGGCGATCACTGAATTGGAGATGTGGGCAGCGCATACACAATTCTCGCTTGTTGATTATAAACATACGAATGGGCAGACGATCAAGATTATTAAGGAGTGGAAGGAGGCTATTAATTCGGTAGGTATTTTGGCTAGGAAACTGGCAAAATCTCGAAAATTCAGAAATGCCGTATTAATCCCGAAATTTCTACTAAAATTACCAAAAAATTAGTTAAATAAGTTATTTGTAGTAAAAGTAGTTAATTATTAGTATAAAAATTAGTTTAATAAGTTAGATTAGTTTTAAAAATTACTACTAAAGTTCCGAAAATTCGAAATTCTGTTAATTCGAGATACTGAAAATTCGTAATTTTGCAACTTCAAAATCCCGAAAATCTGGAATGGTAAAAATTCGAAAACTCAAACGTGGAAATTCGGAAAAATCGTGATTCTATTTTTAGATTCGGTTACCCGGTACTGTGCTGTTAGCGGGGGTCTAATTTTCGCCCCTCGCCTCGTAGCTTTCAAGGAACGAAATAGCGACCCTTTTCACAATTTTTTACACCGTATTTAAGTCTAGCAAATTACTAAAATTTATTAATTTTTTACAAATATTGATTTTAAACAAAAATGCTTTTTTTCAATTTTCTAAAAATGCCTGTTTAAAACTTACAAATCAATAATGTCTAAAAGCTATGAAATACACAATACAAATAGATTTTTCAGTAGGTATATAGAATAGACAGCTTTTTCACCCTCATTAAAATCCCCCTCCTCCCCCCGTTAACAGCCCAGTACCGGGGAAGCTTCCCAGAGAAACAAATGTTGATAATGTTTTTAGGTAAAAGACAGTGAGGCGCTTCTGCAATCGCTGAAGAATTCCCCTTACTATGGCCAATTCTCGGACCGTACACAGTTGTGGGAAGGAAGACTCGGCGAGCTGGACGTTTGTCTCGGTCAAATGGCCGATATTCAAAGGAAATGGGTGTATTTGGAGCCGATTTTCGGGAGAGGGGCTCTGCCACATGAAGCATCACGATTCGCGAGAGTTGATGCCGATTTTCGGCTGATTTTGGCAGGTATGCACTGTTTCAGTATCGGGGGGGGGGGGGGGGGATTAGCAGTGAGAATTATCTGCTTTAATTTGGCCTAATTTATCGATTTTTTAGCCATGAATTAGCCCCCCGCTAAGCAACCAGTCCCTGGGAATTTTGCTGAAGACGCTATAAGCTTGGTTTTAGACGTGGCAAAAGATGCCCGACTCATCTCACTATGCTCTCGGACAGGACTCCGTCGAAACCTGGAGCAAGTGGTCGAGCAGCTGGGGAGATGCCAGCGAGCTCTTGCTCAGTTCCTCCAAGAAAAACGAGCCGCATTTCCGCGCTTCTACTTTTTGGGCGATGATGACCTGCTCGAGATCCTCGGCCAATCGACCAATCCGCTGGTGATCCAGGCTCATTTGAGAAAGTTGTTCCAGGTAAGTAACTAAATGTATCAAATTTGTCGGTTTTGAGTTTTCTAAAAATATTTATTTTCTAGGGCATCGACAAAGTCGTTTTCGGGAGGGCAACCTGACCCTGGTGGCGATGGTGTCGGCTGACGGCGAAGTCGTTCTCCTAGACGCGCCTGTACGCCTGGTCCCCCAAGTCGAAACCTGGCTCCAACATTTATCCGATCGAATGGCCTCCACGTTGCGCCTATTGACGGTCGATGCACTCCGCGATGACGGTCTCAACCCGGGCAAATATCCTTCGCAGGTAGGGAAACCTCCCGAAAATCTGGTTTTTTCGGTGTTTTTGAAGGCGCCTTACGGGATAACGACGAAAAAACTACATATTACGAGTTTTATATGAGCTCAAAATATTGTAAAATAAAAAGCTTAAAGCAAAAAAATTTTTTTTTTGAAATAGGTTAAAAGCTGATTTTTGGAATTTGCGCTAATTTTTCGATATTTTGAAGAGATGAAAATAAAAACACCCCCCCGTTAAGAGTCTAGCACCCAAAATATCACCCCAAAAATTTTTTAGGTGCTCTGCCTCGCTGAAGAGGTCCGTTTCTGCCGTGAGTGCGAGCGAGCCCTCGACTCGTCCTCCTTGCCCTCCCTCCACACTTCCCTTCAACACCAATTGACACAACTTACCGGCCTTCAACCACGTGATGAAGGGTTACTGAGGCTGAAGCTCAAGGCCCTCATTCTCGATCTCATCCACCACATCGACGTTGTTCAGCAACTAATCACGGCGCAGGCACGGAGTACGGCCGAGTGGACATGGCAACGACAACTCCGGTTTTATCTCGATGGAGATAAAGTGGTCGTACGACAGATTGACGCTCGATTTGACTATACTTATGAATATCAGGTACGTTCAACGACTTTCGATGGTGCTTATTCATTATCGGGGGGCCTTTGCCTTCGTTCCATTTTTCTAACAAATATAGAGACGCTGTTTTTACCCTGTTTTTTTACTATTCCTAAACGTAAAAACTTATCCATTTTAAGAACAATACAAAAATACCGATTTTGCGTTAAAACCGATTTTCGTGCCAAAATTTCAGATTTAAAATTTTTTTTTGAGTTTTTGATTGGTTTTCTACTCAAAATTTAAGGAAATTTTATGGTTGAGACGTTACTAGTCGCCTTGAACTTATAGAAGAAATTTGGCTCCCCCCGCTAATAAACCAGCGCTGAATTAGTCAGAACGCTAATATTTTTAGGGCAACGCACCGAAACTCGTCCACACGCCGCTGACGGATAAGTGCTATCTGACCCTGACACAGGCGATGTCGATGGGATTGGGAGGGAATCCGTTTGGTCCCGCCGGAACCGGCAAAACCGAGTCCGTCAAGGCGCTGGGAGCGCTTTTTGGGCGACAGGTTGGTTTGGATCACCTTGGATGCTCCTTAGAGAACCTAGAAAATTAAGAAAAATACGAAAATTGTGATAAAAACACCAACAATTGTTAGGTGCTCGTGTTCAACTGCGACGAGGGCATCGATGTCGTCTCGATGGGCCGCATCTTTGTCGGCTTGGTGCAATGCGGGGCGTGGGGCTGCTTCGACGAGTTCAACCGTCTCGAGCAGACTGTGCTTTCCGCCGTTTCGCAACATATTCAAGCCATACAGGTAAGGTTTAACTTTGAAAAATCAATTTTGTTTTTTTAACGGCTTTTTACTACTCTTAAACGTGGAAAACTCCGCAGCTTTTACTTTAAAAATCGAAAAATATAAATTTTTTCGAAAAATTTTAAGTTAAATTTTTACAAGTGTTTTTAAAAAGTGTTTTTTCCCTCAAAATATAACCGCATTTTACCCAAAAAGCTATTAAAATCTTCAGTTTTACGCTCGTTTTTACGTTATTTTTTTGACTTATGCAAAAACGTTTATCCTCCCCCCCCGATAATGCTCAAGTACCCAAAAAACTTTCAAACCATCTCCAGGATGCGATCCACCACCGTTCCCCATCCGTGACGCTTGGCCAGTATACAGCCCGCGTCGATCCCAATTCCGCCATCTTCATCACACTCAACCCGGCCGGCAAGGGGTAAGAGAACTGGGTTCTTTTGCGTTAACGGGGGGCGCAATTTTTTACAAGGCAAAGTAAATGCACAATGGCGTAACAGCGAGTATTCTAATCGATTTTAACTAAAATTTAACTATATTTTAAATCGAAAAGCTTGCTTAAAACTTTTAATTTGATATTTTTATCGAAAAACCGGTGTTTTGTATTTCTAAACAGATTTTTGTAAGGTTTTTGCGCCTAGGAGAGCTTAGAAACAAACAAAAACTGGATACGAAAGAAGCCCCCCCGATAATGCAAAAGAACCAATAATCCCTTTAGATACGGCGGTCGCCAAAAGATGCCGGACAACTTGAAGCAGCTCTTCCGGCCGGTGGTGATGTCCGTTCCGGATAATGAACTCATCGCCGAGACGCTCCTCTTTGCCGAAGGTTTCCGCGAGGCTAAGCCGTTGGCTAGGAAAACGGTAGCAGTCTTCAGGTAATTTCCAATTTCTATTTTTAACAAAATCTACCTTTTTGATTGTGCAAAGAAATGCTGTCCGCCCAGCAACACTACGATTGGGGCCTCCGCGCCCTAAAAGCTGTCCTCCGTGGTTGTGGCGGGCTACGTCACTCCTCTGAACAATCCGATAGTAATGAGGCGTCCATCGTCGTCCAGGCGCTACTGTTGAATACGCTGTCAAAATTGACTTTTGCCGACTCGAGGCGATTTGACGCGCTCATACAGGATATTTTCTATACTGGAGGACCGGAAAAGAAGGTTTGGGGTTGAAAGCCATAAGAGGGAAAACGCACTTGCAGGATGGAAAGGAGAGCATGGCTCCATTTGGGGCACTTTTGGAGCCGCTGCAAAAATCGGCTGAAGAGATGGGTATCCGCCTCGGGGATCGGCAGCTTCACAAGCTTTTCCAGCTCCATGAGCAGCTACGGCAACGTATTGGTGGGTTTTAGAGGGTCTCAAGTGTTTCTCTCTCTCTCCTCTCTCTCTCTCTCCCTCTCTCTCTCTGTTCTCTCTCAGCCGCTCATTCTCACCCTCATTCTCTCTCACATGCTCACCCACACTCGCTGGCTCGCTCTTTTTCTTGCCTATCTGCCCCTCTGTCTCCCTCCCTCCAGCTCTCTCTCTCTCTCTCTCTCTCTCTCTCTCTCTCTCTCTCCCCGCCCCTCATTCTGCCTCTCTCTTTCTCGCTCAAACACACTCTCTCTCGTGCTGTCTCTCCAGCTCTCGCTCTATCTCTCACAATTACACACACTCTTCTCTCTCTCTCTCTCTCTCTCTCTCTCTCTCTCGCTCTCGCTCTCATCTATTCCCCCTTTTTCAGGTGTTGTCGTAGTTGGCCCATCCCAAAGTGGAAAATCCACACTTTGGCGTGTCCTCAAACGAGCGTTGATCATCAGCGGCCAACGGCTCGCCTGCTACGAGTTGAATCCAAAAGCCACAACCCGCACAAGACTGCTTGGCCATATGGATATGGATACACGAGAATGGACCGATGGTATAATCACCATGGCCGCCAGGAATGTTATTAAGGATACACAGGTACAAAGCAAGGAAAAAAAAATCAAATGTATTTTACTAATACCGTATTTCGTTTTTTTCTGGGTTCTACTAGTGTAATAAGCTTGATGAAATAGTAGAAAACCTTTGAATGCGTCTATTTATATTAGGGAAATTACGGTACTAAGATCGGCGGGTTTCCGGGATCACCCCGATAAGGTGAAGAACCAAAACCTTTCAGGTCCATACATGGATCGTCTGTGATGGTGACATCGACCCGGAATGGGTAGAAGCCCTGAATTCTGTCCTGGACGACAATCGCCTTCTGACGATGCCCTCTGGAGAGCGCATCCAGTTTGGCGCCAATGTCAATTTCCTCTTCGAGACCCATCATCTACAATTCGCCTCCCCGGCTACGGTATCGAGGTCGGCTTAAAAATTTACCAGTCTATCAGTTCTCTACCACCCTCGATAACGGAAAAGATCCCAAAATTTCTTTCCCGGTAGACCAACCCCCGCTTTTCTCTGTCTCGTGTGTAAGTATAAAATGTTCGTTTTTGGCGAGTATATTGGTATACTTCCTGTGGGGCGTATGGTGGGGGGTGGGGGGGGGGGGTTTGGGGTTTGGTTTGCCCTTCCTTTTCATTTTTAAGTTGAAAATGCGTATTTTTTCGTTTCCACCCCTTTAAATAGAAAAGTACCGTTTAATTTCAGACTGGGAATGTTACTAACCAGCGAAGAGGACGTGAGCCCTCGTGATGTCGTGGAAAAATGGGTGCGAGCCCAGGGACCGGAGGAATCACCGGAAATTGCGGGATGGCTAGAGGATAGCTTCTACCGTATCCTCCAAATTGTCGATCAGAGACAGACCACGGCCGGGATACGGTTGCCTCCAATCGCTCTGACACAAAATGGGCTCTCGCTGCTTGGAGGCGTGCGGTCAAAACCCGAATTTCTCGTCGCGCTGTATCGAGGGTTTGCAGGTCGGTTTTTAAAGGCATTTCAAGTTAATAGACAAAAATTGGTACTTGTGCAATATCGGGGGGACTGTTTTTACACTGTTTTTTTATTATTTCTAAAGAGGAAATCCACAAATTCTTATCAAAAAAATCAAAATATTTATTTGCGACCAAATCATGAATTTTTAGACGCTTTACTGGGCCCAGAAAATTCTGGTTATTTAATACTTATCTTTTTAATGGTATTTTATTAAATATAACTGTTTTTAAATAGGAAAAACTATCTAGAAAAATTTTTAACATTTAAAAATTCGAAATTTTGGTCGAAAATCCGCTTTTTTCGGTATTTTTAAGCGAAATTTCGAAAGTTCTAACGCTTACGAGTAGTGAAAAATTGTTTAAAAACAAACCCTGTATTCAAATAAAAAATTGGGTGCTAAAAAAGCAGCCCCCCCGATAATGCAAAAGACCCGAAAAACACTGCACTACCGTATCTATTAACATTAACAGGTCTAAAGTAGTGCGGCGTAGTGCTGCGTAGCCGGCCCTGGACACCCCCGCTAAGAGACCAGTACCAAAAATTTTATTTTTATTGCAGGCTCGGTGCCGCTGGACGCTCGAAAAGAGCTGGCCGCCGCGGTATTTGAGGGTGAACATCTACCAGACGCCTCTCAGCCCGATCTTGTCTATTTTGACGATAGAACTCGAATGTTACAAATGTATACAGAAGATACGGGGCAGGGATTGACGAGGGAACAAGTTGAGGGGCAAGGTCAAGCTCCACCTCTTGTTTTGACACCCAATGCCCAGGCTACCACCTCGCTTATACAGGTACTAAAATTTTTTACTTTTCTTGTCGATACAAGCGTTAAAATCTTTTAAATAATCGAAAGAGTAAAATACCAATATAAATATAATCTAAAAAATTAAAATTCATAGAAAAGTCATTTTGATTTTTCCGTATCGATTAAGGCATTTAAATCTGTATCAAATACTTTAAAAGAATCAATAATAGGAAACCAACAAAAATAGGAGTTTAAATGTTACTAAATCGGTAAAAAGTGAATTTTAAAATAAAATAATAAAATAAAGTTTTTAAAATAAAAAAACCCAGGTTAGGACATCGTATTTCCACTAAAAGACCTCTGAAAAGCCTAAAACTCCTAAAATCTCGGTGCTTTGTCATTACCGGGGGAGGGGAATTTTTGCGTGTTTTATTTAGTAAAATTCAGCAATATCTTCAATTGAAAACCCATGTAAAAAGCCAACGATGTAAACAAAAAATTTTCGCTCGAAAAATCGTTATTTTTATCTTTTTCTAAATTAATATATTTGTCTAAAAAAACAAATGTCAAATGTAAAACTATGTCAAAAAAATGTGCTCGAAAATCTAAAATTTACCTGTAATTTTTCAAATTTGAATTTAAGCGAAGTCTTGATCAATTTACCCAACTTTCAGGCATGGCTGACCGACGCGAGCCACCCATCAATCTGTGTGGTCGGACCGGAAGGGAGCGGAAAAGCGAGTCTGATGCAGAACAGTCTCCAGACCCTCCCTCTATCCAGAACGGCTACACTTTCATGCTCTGCACAAACCTCAGCACATACCCTACTTCATACCCTTCATCAGCACACTGTTCAGGTAAGTTTTTCAGTATTTTTGGTGCTGGTTCGTTAGCGGGGGTGAGAGCTATTTCTTAAGGAATTTTTAGGTGTCCGGTGCAGGTGGCCGTGTACTGCGCCCAAAAGACGGTGGTGGCCAGTTGATCGTTCTCCTTCGAGGTCTCAATCAAACCTCCCCAGATCGCTATGGGACCTCACAACTTCATGCTCTCCTCCAGCAACTCCTCACCTACCACGGATTCTTTGATGATGCTCTCGAGTGGATCGGTTTGGAGGGGATTCAATTCGTCGTCACCATGGCGTTGGAAGGGGCTGGAAGGTGCGTTTTTTGGTTCTTTTGCATAATCGGGGGGAGCCCATTTATTTGTAGACGTTCAGAAACGCTGATTAACGTAATATTAAGGGAATTTATAGTGTTTTTGCAAAATTTAATTAAATTTCAAATTGAAAACTACCTAATGAAAATCGGTCATATTTGGCCGAAAAATCGATTTAATCCAACATTTCTAAAGTTTTAGCTTTAAGAATAACAAAAATAATAAATTTTTTTTTTTTTTTTTTTTTTTTTTTTTTTTTTTTTTTTTTTTTTTTTTTTTTTTTTTTTTTTTTTTTTTTTTTTTTTTTTTTTTTTTTTTTTTTTTTTTTTTTTTTTTTTTTTTTTTTTTTTTTTTTTTTTTTTTTTTTTTTTTTTTTTTTTTTTTTTTTTTTTTTTTTTTTTTTTTTTTTTTTTTTTTTTTTTTTTTTTTTTTTTTTTTTTTTTTTTTTTTTTTTTTTTTTTTTTTTTTTTTTTTTTTTTTTTTTTTTTTTTTTTTTTTTTTTTATTTTTTTATTTTTTTAAATTAAATTTTTTTTTTTTTTTTTTTAATTTTTTTTTTTTTTTTTTTTTTTTTTTAAAAAAATTTTTTTTTTTTTTTATTTTTTTTTTTTTTTAAAATTTTTTATTTTTTTTTTTTTTAAAAAAAAATTTTTTTTTTTTTTTTTTTTTTTTTTTTTTTTTTTTTTTTTTTTTTTAAATTTTTTTTTATTTTAATTTTTTTTTTTTTTAAAAATTAAAAAATTTTTTTTTTTTTTTTTTTTTTTTTTTTTTTTTTTTTTTTTTTTTTTTTTTTTTTTTTTTTTTTTTTTTTTTTTTTTTTTTTTTTTTTTTTTTTTTTTTTTTTTTTTTTTTTTTTTTTTTTTTTTTTTTTTTTTTTTTAAATTTTTTTTTTTTTTTTTTTTTTTTTTTTTTTTTTTTTTTTTTTTTTTTTTTTTTTTTTTTTTTTTTTTTTTTTTTTTTTTTTTTTTTTTTTTTTTTATTTTTATTTTTTTAAATATTTTAAATTTTTTTTTTTTTAAAAAAATTTTTTTTAAAAAAAAAAAAAATTTTTTTTTTTTTTTTTTTTTTTTTTTTTTTTTTTTTTTTTTTTTTATTTTTTTAAAAATAAAATTTATTTTAAAATTTTTTTTTTTTTTTTTTTTTTTTTTTTTTTTTTTTTTTTTTTAATTTTTTTTTTTTTTTTTTTTTTTTTTTTTTTTTTTTTTTTTTTTTTATTTTTTTTTTTTTTTTTTTTTTTTTTTTTTTTTTTTTTTAAAAAAAAAAAAAAAATTTATTTTTTTTTTTTTTTTTTTTTTTTTAAAAAAAAAAAAAATTTTTTTTTTTTTTTTTTTTTTTTTTTTTTTTTTTTTTTTTAATTTTTTTTTTTTTTATTTTTTAAATTTTTTTTTTTAAATTTAAATGAATGCGCAAGTCATAATCCCAGAAGCCATTTTTCTTTGCGTTTTGATGTTATTTTTTGAATGGATTTCTTCTAATTTTAGTTTTAGTTCTATGTTTGTAATTTTGTAACTTTAATTTGTACAGAATTTTCTAGAATAAGATTATCCGATTACGCCACTAAATTTTCTGCTATCATTTCCTAAACCATTATCTATTTCTCGTTCCAGATACCCAGTCTCCACCCGGCTACTCTCCCTATTCCGCCTAGCTACTGTTTCCACCCCATCGGATCGAGACCTCCAAACAATCTACAGTATCTATTTGATGCCAATTATGGAGGTAGTTTTCTAACGATTTTTACTGTATTTTTCCCCCAATTTCCAGCCAATCCTCCAAAATGCCACCCGTGTCGAGGGAGTTGCAGGGATGATGGTGCAAATCTATGAAGATGTGAGTTTTTATGTGAAGCCAAGGACCCTGGTAAAGCTCCAAAATAGCGGCAGAAAAAATGGCGACACTCAGAATCCAGGCAGCTGACATTCCCAAATGTAAAATACCGACAGCCATGCTCTGACAGCAAAAACTCGATATCCAAGGTCCCGACGCTAGAAATACCGACAATCAAAATTAGGATTGCCGAAATACCGCCAACCGAAATATCGACAGCTGAATTTCCCACAACCGTAATACCGACATTTAAAATACCGTAACCCGAACTGCCGAAAGCCAAACTTCCGATATTCAAAATACTGACAGCTGAAGTATCCGTCGTGTCGGTATTTTCACGGCCCATTCGTTATTTTGGTTGTCGGGCTTTTGAAGGGCTGGATTCTGAATGTCGGGAGTTTGCCCTGCCGGTATTTTTGCTCCGTGGATCTCGTCCTGTCGGGATTTTCGAATGTCGGTATTTTAATGTCGGTACTTATGTTTGTTTGTACTTATGTTTAAAATTCGGGCATGTCGGCATAATGGAATTTTCGGATGTTGGTTGTCGGTATTTTGTTGTCGGAATTCGCGCTGTCGGGGTTTTCATAGTCGGTATTTCGACTGTCGAGATTATAGTATCTGAATCCACCCTTTTCCAGGTCCGGCGTACCTTCCGGAGCACAGAACAAGCCCACTACGTGTTCTCACCTCGCGACTTGACCAAGTGGACGTTGGGAATGAGGAGATACGAAGGAGCAGGAGCCGACGCTGCTGCTCCAACGCTTCTCCACGAAGCTGCACGAATTTTCGGGGATCGAATGGCGTCAGATGGGGATCGCCAAAAGTTCCGTGACCTGCTCGCAAACGTCGCTGGCGGCGGGGCTGGGGATGCTGGTTGGTAATTTATATATTTTCATAATTCTAAGCTTATAGTGATTTTTATTCTATTAATTTTGTAAATGTTTAATCAACGCTTAATTGTAAAAAAATGAATTTATCTATCTATTTCGTAGCTTTCCTGTACGTGACGACGTCGACGGCGATGCACCAGGGCGGCGCCTTGCCGCTGACGCGCGTACCCAGGGCGGACTACGCGGCACTACTACAAAAAGCTGTTAATAGATACGGTAACTGGCGCTCTTTTTTGGTGCTTTTGCATTAGTGGGGGGGGGCAACTTTTTATGAATTTTTTTATAAATTTAGGAAGGATTTCTAAAAGTTTCAGTACCCCAAAATTAAAAAATGTAAAAATATCAAATTTTTCGAGTTTTAAAATTTTTGGACGTTTTTTAGTTGTCCGGATTTAAATATAGTTAATTTCTTCAAAAAATTTACTATGAAGTTCCTAGGAATTTAAAATGTAAAATTATGGTCCCCCGATAATGCGAAAGCTCCTCTTTTAAACGTCTTTTTATTTATTTTTTTAGTACGTAAAATTTGACGCTTTCTAGAATTTGACGTCTCCCAGTTCAAAGCCCCTCTTGTCGATGAAGTGGTCGACATCTGCGCCAAGCTCGATCGAGCCCTCACCACACCTGGTACGCTTTTTCGCGTCGACTACGCTACATTCCGCCCGAACACCCCGAATATGTGCTTTTTAGTGGGAAACGTGCTCGTGGCCGGAAGCGCCGGAATGGGGCTCGGATCCTGTGTCCGACTAGTCGCTCATCACCATCAGATGGCCGTCCACCATCCACGCGTCACGCCCGGATACGCGCAGAAACACTTTGACAACGACCTCAAGGCGGTCAGTAAAGAAATATAACTAGAAACTACAAGTTACGGTACTTTTGCAGTATCGGGGGCACGGCGAATTTTTTATATACGTAATAGTAACTATTTTCATCTGCTTTTAGTAAAATTTCCCGGTTTTTAAAGTAGAAAGCCATCCAAATGACTTTGAAAATTGAAATATTGTCAAAAATCGTTCAATTTAGGCCGGAAAATCGATTGTTTTTGCATTTTTTATACCCCCCGATAATGCAAAAGAACCACAGTTACAAATGTTATTATTATTTTTAGGCCATCAACCAAGCATTAATGAATGGTGAACACGTACTGATGGTGGTAGAAGAATGGGAGGTATCCGCCCTCCCTGCCCTCCTCCAGACCCTAAATTCACTACTTTCTGCCGGCGAAGTCCCTGGGCTTTTTACCCCTCAAGGTAACTTGAATATAAATAGTGGGATACGGTAATCCGGTCACCTTTTTAGAGCTTGATGGGCTGATCGCTGCGGTTCGGGACCAGGCGAGCCAAATGAACTTCCAGGGGAATTTGAACGATTTCTTTGCCTATCGTAGGTGTTTTGAACTTGTTTATCCGTTCTTCTCATCTAAAAAAGACAGAAGACGACTGAAAACTACAAACAAAATAATAAGAAGAAAGAAATTAACAATTCTTTAGGCGTCCGCTCGTTGGTGCACGTGGCTTTGGTGCTGGATGTGGATAATGATAAGTTAGTTTTTAGCAAGCCTTTCTTTTCTATTTTTTGAAATTTTTTGTATTATTAGAATTTAAATTTTTTGCAGTTTTGGTTGTATTTTTCTATCCTATTTTTTTAGGTTCGAAGAAAGGACAGCCGCCAATCCAGCCCTCTTCCGGAATTGTGAAGTGATATGGATGGAAAAATGGGGTCTGCATACGCTCGATCAGGTAAGAAATCTGCGTGCTTTTGCATTATCGGGGGGAGGGTGGGTACCTAGTAACGTAATAGTAAGCAGCTTAATAGTGTTTCGAAAAATTTAGCTATTTTTCAAGGGAAAACTAAAATTTTTTTTTTAATTGGAAAAAGAAAAAAAAAAATATTTATTTTTTTTTTTTTTATTTTTTTTTTTTTTTTTTTTTTTTTTTTTTTTTTTTTTTTTTTTTTTATTTTTTAAAATTTTTTTTTAAATTTTTTTTTTTTGGTGTTTTGTTTAAAATTTAAAAAAAAATTTTTTTTTTCCTCAAAAAAAAAAAAATTTTGAATTTTTTTTTTTTTGGGGGCCCCCCAACCCCCCTGTAGGGGTTGGGAGTAGACGGCGACAGGAGAAAACTCCCGAAATACCGCTTTTCCAGATGCCAACCGTTGAACTGCCCCGTGCCGGTGTTCAATCCCCATCCGAAGAAGTCGTCGGCCTTCTCCGCCAACTCTTCGGAATGGCCCCAAAAGAACTGGCTACCCCTTCACGATACACAACTCTCATCCAAAACTACGCACGCCTGTACACCACCAAAAAAGAAGCCGTCACTTCACGACTGCAGAGACTTACGGTATTTTAGGCACCTTTTAACGAAAACAGCGCATTTTTTAGGCTGGTGTCGGAAAACTGACAGAGGCCCGCGAAGCGGTTGCCGCCATGCAATCGAGGGCCGCGAAACAGAGCCGATTACTCGCCGAAAAACAGCGAGAGGCTGATGCTGCACTGGCTGCGATCAGCCAGAGCATGGCTGGGGCTCAGGATCAAAAGGAGTCGATGGAGAAGCTGCGAGGGGATGTCGGGAGGGAGAATGAGAAGATTGAGGCACAGCGGGCCAGGATTGATGAACAGCTCGCTGACGTCGAGCCGTTGCTCAGGGTTGGTTTTTGTATTTAAATCTCGGATTTCTGGACCTTATCATTTAGCGGGGGGCACAAAAGCGACATTTTCGAAATTGTAAAAGTATAGTCAGCGGTTTTTAAAATATATGTTTCATAAATGACGATTTTTTTGGTATAACACATCATCATAAAAATGACAACATTTTTTTTTGCAAAAATGGGTTCTGGTGCATTAGCGGGGGGAAGCAACTGACAGACAGGCCTATTTTTGGGTCTATTTAACCCCCCCGATAACGAACAAGAACCTAAAAACGACCAAAAAATATCGAAAATTCAATTTCAAAAAATTTTCTAACATTTTTTGATATGTTTTTCTTAACGGAAACTCCTAAAACTACTAAAAATACAACTTACATTTTATTCCTTGGCAGTTGTGGCTAAAAAAATTAAAAATACTCCCGTTTAGGAAGCCCGCGAAGCGGTCGGCTCGATCAAATCCGAGTCGCTCTCCGAGATTCGATCCCTAAGAGCACCACCGGAAGCCGTTCGTGATATTCTACAGGCTGTACTCCTATTCATGGGCATTTTGGATACATCCTGGGAAGCCATGAGAAAGTGAGAAAATTATTTGGTGCCCTAGTTACCGTATCCACCTCAGATTCCTGGCCAAATCGGGCGTGAAGGAGGAGATTATCAACTTCGATGCGCATCGCATTACATCGGATGTGCATAAGAAGGTTTCGACGCTTGTGGCGAGCAAGCAGGCTTCGTTTGATCCAAAGGTAAGCTTAGGTTCGGCTTGGCTTGGACTGGGCTTAGGCTTCGGTTAGACTTAGGCTTACTTGACTTGGTCTTGCGCTTAGGCTGAGGCTTCTGCTTGGCTTAGGCTTAGGCTTCGGTTATACTTAGAGTTGGCTTAGAGTTAGGCCTGGCGTAGGCTTGATTTAGGCTGGGCTTAGGCTTCGGCTTCGGCCCAGCTTACGCTTAGATTGGGCCCAGGCTTGGCTTAGGCCGGCCTTAGACACCGACTTGGCTTCGGTATCTTGGCTTAAACGTGGGCTTGGGCTTGGCTTAGGATTGCTTGAGCTTGAGCTTGCGCAAAATGTCACGTTTTAGAACGCAAAACGAGCCTCCGCAGCTGCAGCTCCTCTAGCCGCCTGGGTGATGGCCAACCTCCAGTACTCAACGATTCTGGATAAAATCTCCCCACTCGAGCAGGAGAAGAACGCCCTGATGAAGTTGGTCATCTACTGCCGAGGCCCAATTTTTTGTTTAGAAACCTGAGCAAGGCCGAGAAACAGATGGACAAGCTGTCAAAGGGTCTCGTGACGGTAGATGAACAAGTGGCCGAGCTGAAGGCCCGATTTGAGGGGTATATGAAAGAGGCCACCCATATCAAGATCAACCTTGACAAGGAGCAGGTCAGTTTCCCAATTTGCGCTCTGCCTACCGTATCCTGGGAGTTTTGGGCGACGATCGAGGTGGCCGGGACGTTGGTGGACAGGCTTGGCGGGGAGTACGAGCGGTGGAAGGAGCAGATGGATGTATTACGGGCTGAACTTGACCAGGTTGGTGGTGTTCTCTCTCTCTCTCTCTCCCCTCTCTCTCTCTCTCTCTCTTCTCTCTCTCTTTTTCTCTCTCTCCCCTCTTTCTCTCTCTCTCTCTCTCTCCTCTCTCTCGCCATAAAATTCCGCATTTTTCCAGCTTGAACGTCGTTGTGCCGTCTCGGCCTTGTTCGTCTCCTTGCTCGGCTCGGCGTCCGAGCGCGTACGCCACGACGTCATCAAGCAGTGCGCCCAGGTATCTATTTTAATACGCAAATTTCCAAAAAAGTCTCTATTACAGGAAATCCGCCTTCCCGAATTTGACGTGCTCAACTTCTGTGCCCTCGAAACGGAGCAGGTAGATTTTTATTTTTTTGAAAAATTCCGCTACACTCCGATGTGTACGTAGGTGTATGTAGTACTCAAGTGTACTATAAAAATTGGACGCTAAGGACCCCCCCCGATAACGCAAAAGAAGCAAATTCCGCTACGCTCCGCTCTGTACGTAGTAGCATGTAGTACTCAAGCGTACTAGGAAAACAGCAGCAACAGATGGCCCATTTATCGACACACAAAAATTCGAAGAATTCACGGGAGAGGGGTACGGTAGGGGGCTATAGTCGCTGATCACAGTATTTCTCTTCTCTCTAGTATCTCCTAGCCATTTCGGGGGAATTTCGAGGGGGATACGGTAATTCCAAAGTTGTCTACAGTAGCCGCGCGTAGTCGTCGAGTCTTAGGTCAAACTGCACAGCTTCCACATGCATTTCGTCGGGTTCGACACTGAAATTCGGGGTTTTTGCATCAGAATTCAAGCATTGATTTGTAGAAAACTTGTCGAAACTCAGATTTTCCATGCTGAATTTGTCGAAATATCGATATGTTGAAATTCCACAATGTCATTTTGTCAATGTTAATTTTGCCACTTTGTGGAGGTTTTTTTTCGAAGATTTCCGATGTCGAAATTGCGACATTTCGAAATTTGAGTGTCGAAAATTGGAATCTCGGATTACATTTATCGAAAATGAACTTGTCGACATTTTAATATGCCGAAATTCCAACATTTGTTATCTTGGAATTACAATTTTTTTTAAATAAGTGTGCCGAAAACTAAATTTCCAAAAGCAAGCATTAATGCCTGAAATTCCGACAAGATGACACTTCAAAAATGCAGTTTCGACAAAATAAAATACCGACATGACCAATTTTCGAAAAATTCGGCTACGGTAGACTCCCCCCCCTAGCCGGAAGTTTTTGGCTATAACTTTTTTATTTTACATTATTGTGGGCTCAAATTAAAACTCTTAGTATATTTTTCAACGCTCTATCGAATGGCGTTGCAAAAATCCCGACAAAATAAGCGAAAATACCGACAACTTTGAGACCCTTCGGCTGTGGGGGGGGGGTAAAGTAAACTCTTACCAAAAATTCAATTTTGAACAAACTCAAATTTCGACAAAATGAATTTCGACACGATGAATCTCAAATTAGATTTTTATGGCAACAAGCATGCTAGTAACCATAAACTACGACTGCAAGCCACAAAATACAAAAAAATAAAATTTACCTCGCTTATCCATGAATCCATCAGTTCGGTAGAGGGGCCGGCCACGCTGCAATAGCGACGCCCATCTCCCAAAACCCCAACCCTCGCCGTCTGCTACCTAATAAAAAAAAATTGATATTTTGGGGAGTTCGACTTCGTCTCTCTCTCACTCTCTCTCACTCGCTCTCTCGCTCTCTTTCGCAAACTTACATATATCCTCGCCTCAGCCATCAAAAATATACAAAAGGCTGCCAAGACTACCCGCAACACGGCGGACATTACCTCAAAATATTTGAATATTTGTAGGTATTAAAAATATACTAAATTCAAAGAAAAAATTCAAGATACAAATTTCGAAATGGGAGGCTAGCAGAGGACCTTTAGGAATTTGGAAGGTGCTAGAAGGGGCTTGTAGGTTCCCTTGATAGAGACTAGGAAGGGAGGACTTGTGTGTTTTTAAACGCAACGAAAAAAACAAGGCCCTCCGTCTTTTGATTGCGTAATCGATTATGGCTCTTAAAGGTGGCTTGACAGAGATGAATGCGAAAAATCGCTAGGGATATTATCCACAGTGAAATGAATTCTCCTTCCTTGCCAGTCCCTTTAAAGGCTTTGGCAAGCGAAATCCATAGAGGTTCCAAAGGAAAGACAGGAAAGCCATCCCTTCCGGTTCTCTGTCATAACCCCCCGAGAAAAGCACGGAACTCAAACATCCCGCATAGCCACGCCCACCCCTAAAAATTAGCCTAAAGCAAAGGAAAACCCCTAACTTCCGGCGGAAAGGGAAGAAGAAGGACGAGACGCTCCTTTCGACACATCCCACCCCGTAAAGTAGTGTTACGTGGAAAAGGAGGGGAGGGCGTGGGAAGATCTTCAAGGGGATGGGAAGTCGTCAATGGGTAGGTTTCGGAAAGAGGGGAATCGGTTCGGAGACCAATGGGGAGAAGCGGGGGGAGGGGGAGGAGCAGGAGACAGCGGAGACGATCGAAGAACCCCCTTTTAAACTACTGCTCAAAAAGCAAAAAGCAAAAAGTTCCGCACCCGGAGGAATCGAACCCGGATGCTGTGGGTGGGAGGCGAGAACTTTCCAAATGAATAAATGGTACGGTAGCGAAGAATCAGGTGATGACGATCTTCCATCGCCCTTACTCATGCTCAAAAAGCAAAAGGTTGGCCCCCAAAGGAATTGAACTCGGTTGTTGTGGGTGGGAGGCGCGAACTTTGCCATTTCACTAACTGACAGCGGCGAAGAAAATGAAGTTTAAACGAACTGTCAAGCGTCATTTGTCGCGCCGCGTACCTGTTAACACCTAGTCGATGTAGCACATCGAATTTCGCCCTTCTTAACCCCTTTAAAAAGGACCGTAACAGTCAAAAACCTCCCAAAAAATCCTCGTAATCTCGGAGTGTCACGTAGCCCAGCCCGCGCGAGACTGATGAATTCTGACCTGGTGCCGTTGAGAATTTTTTTGGAGCCCCCGGCCCAAAAAGGCCCCGCAATCGCATTAATGGGATTTTTAAGCGACAACCAGACGCTCCTCTGAACGCCCTTAAAACGGGACAAGGCCTCCGAGTTTCTCCAAAATTAGCGGCAAAATCGTGAATGAAAGGGGGCTGAGATCGAGCAGAGATCATTTTGGAGCATTTAAAATTGCTGAAAAATTAAATAAAAATTCAATTATAAAATTATAAGACCATTTTAAAAAGCATTTTTAGCTAAATTGGAAGAACCAAGGACTTCCGGGGGATCAACTGTCGCTGGAGAACTGTGTGATACTGCTGAACACCTCGCAGACGCCGCTCATCGTCGACCCGACGGGCAGGGTGGCCAGGTGGGCATTAATAGACAATTGGAAACCGATAGAAAATAGTCCACTCAAACTTTGGCAAAAAGCAAAAAGTGTTTGTCGTGGACGGGGGTCGAACCTTGACCTGGGGATCGGGGGTCGAGGGTGCTAACCACTAGGCTATGGGTGCAACCGAACGCGGAATGGATGGGGGATTGATAAGGGAGGGGTCGCCAATCAGGACCAGATTTAGGAAAACTCTCCTGATACTAAAATATGGATAAGTTACCGTAACCCCTGGGCCCGCTGCAGAAGCACATCAACTGATTGACGCAAACTTCCTGGACCCCCTACCCTTGGAAAAATGAGGGGGAGGAGCCGGAATTGGGCAAATTGGGTGACGAGGGGGGATTCCCCGGTTAGAAAGACGAGAAGGATAGAGGAGGATAGACGACACCTTGATTAGCCCATCCAACCCCCCTAGAGACTCTCCCCTCTATTCGAACACCCGGAAGAATAGCCGGCTGTCTGTACCTGGAATCGCGTAGTATAGCGGAATATGAGAAGCTGTAGAGAGACAGGCGGGTTTTAAAGGGGCAGGAAAGCGCGAGGATCGACCTTGCAAATCGGTTAGGTCTCGACAGATGCGCGTCACATCAAATGACGCAAAACCGCCCGCACTAGAGATGATTAAAGGGCTGGAGAAAGATGGGCCGGGTCCTCGGGTGACGGACCCCGCGGCACATGACGCTTTCCTCGCGTAAGCGCCCCAAAATCCCTCTCTCGCATTTGAAGAAACCAGTTTATCACAACCGCCCATGGGTTCGGTCCGGATGGTTCAAGGGAAAGGGCGTATGTAGTGTTTTCGCGGTTGCGTGCGGGTGCGGAATAGCAACCGCTTTTAGCTGCGCAGGCCTGCTTTCGCAATTGCGCGACGGTTATCGCACGGTTGCGGTCTTCCTCTGTCCAAAGCTACCGGACGTTTTATTAGGAGCCGGGCCGCTGTGTTATTGGTTAAAACTTTTTCATTTAACAATTTTTTCAACTAAAAATTTCCTGAAACCAAGGACTTGGTGATACGCATCGTGGTAAAAATTTGAGCTGGTTGGATAGCAGGCGGCCAAGTTCTGGGGTTCGGGGCTTTGGGCCTGTTTTGCCTGAAAAAGAAGCGCATACACATCAAAACACCTCTAGAAAGTTGCAAAGTACGTTGCTTTCCTTTAGCAAGATTTTCTACAACATTTTTTAGCTATTATCACCATGAATTTGCTTTATTTCTAATGGCAGTTCTTGTACAGGTGGCAATGCGCCCTAGGGTATGTGGGGGCCCTCCGCCGCCCCTCTCGACTCGACTCTCTGGTGTACTGGCTAGCGCATCGGACTGCGGGGCGGACCATCCCTGGTGCGACCCTCTTTGCTCTTTCAGCGATTCCATCTTTCTCGAGCCCTTTAAGGGACCGGAACGTGCGAAAATCGACACTACCGTTGACTAGGTGCCGACAGCTACGTTAAATAACGTATGTATTCACGTCATTAGATTATTTTGTGCGTCATTTGGTGTGTCACGTGCTGTCTGACCTAGTTGATACAAGGGTCGATTCTGGCTTTGGGTCTTTAACGGGCAGGCCCTTAGTCGACCCCTTCAATTGGGTCTCGTCAGCTGCGCGCGGCGCCAAACGACGCACAAAATTCCAGTGCTAAGTCGCTATTAAATTATTTTCCATGCGTCATTTGGAGTGTCACGTAGCTGTCTAGACCTAGTTGATACAAGGGGTCGATTCTGGCGCTGAGCAGAGCCTCTTTAAAGGGACGGGCAAGACAAGGCTGTGGCGTTTTCCCGTGGATTCGCTATAGCTAAGTAACACAGAGATAAATCAGTAATCCGTTACGCAATGTAACGCGGGAAGACGTGTCAACGCAGGAAAATCCATAGCCATGCCTTGGCCGTTCCTTTAAAGGCAGCGTGCCAGCTAGAGGAATTCCGAAAATGCTCATTGAATTAAGCAGAAGACGTCCTCTACTGTCCCCCTAGCCAATCTCCTCCTCCTCCTCTCTGGGTGGATTATGCAAATTTCGAAAATGGCCTTTCCCTGTCCCTCTTTTCAATTTCCCCTCTCAATCCCCCCCTGCCAGACGAAAAGGGATTTACCACCCCCGTGGAAAATGAGATGCAATGGATGCGACGCTATTTTTTTTTGAGAAAATTCGAAATTGCCATTATTGTCGAGATCAGAGAAAAATACGAAAAATATCACATTTTTAGATTCCTGGAGAAATACCTGCCGAACGCGAGTACGTTACGCGCCGGCCAGAATGATCTCTTTACACAGGTTAGAGTTTGAAAAGTTTAAAAAGGAAGGTGTGAGCGTCTTGGCAACGCGCAGCGCTCGGCTTTCCATTGCGTGATAAATTGCGATGGAGATGCGTGCGCGTTGCGTGTCGAGGGCGCAGAAATCTGTAGGAAATCGATAACAATGCCTTACACGTTCCTTTAAAGGACCGAGGAAGGGATAACTATTGATTTCCAATAGATTTTGCCGCGATACGCGCCGCGTACCCGCGGCTTTCCATGGCGTAATGCAGCGGGCGTGTGCGTTGCACATCGCGGGCCAGAAAAATCCATAGCCTTGCCTTGTTCGTTCCTTTAAAGGAGACGGGAAGGCAGCGCTATGGATTTTGCCGCGAGACGCAACGCACACGCTCTGAATTTCAACGAAAAAACCGACACACTAATAGTGAAAACGAAAAATGCTAAATTCGAAACTCCGATTTTCTGTCAGAATTTCAAAATTTCATAATGTCGAAATTTCGTGATGCCGAAATTTCAACATGTCGACATTTTTGCATAATCTTTGGGGTTTTTCGGGGAGATACGTTTATGTAAATTTCGAGCCCCAAAAAGGTCGACCTGGATATGTCGGCAATATGAAATTTCGATGTTTTTAAAATAAGTCCGACCTACCAGTAGCTCGTCAGAAAAAGCCCTAATTAGCCGCGTAAAGTTCGCCGAAGCAATATGGCTCTCCCCACCCCTAAAAATAGCGACCCATCGGCTGAAGCAGTCACCCCCCTAGCCCAGGCCGGCGAACTATCCAAAATTCTGAAGGACCCTCGGAATGGCCCACTCGCGTCATAACTAGTAGACGAGGCAAAGGGATGAAGCAACGCAACCCAGACAGCAGTACGCCACCATACGTAAAATGACACGCGGAGGATGCGAGGGGAGAATCTCGAGTTATGGCGGAAGATGCTAGAATTTTTAGTTCTAAAGCTAAGGAGCCCAATATTAATACGTACCAATTCTTCTTGCACAAAAAGCAAAAAATCGGCCGCTTTGGGGAATCGAACCCTCGACTTTTGGATTTGAAGACAAGCGCACTATCCACTAGGCCACACGAGATTTTTGGCTTTTGACTGATTTAACGTGTTTTACACGTAATACGTATAAAACTGAGTGAAATTTAGCGAGGCCTAAGCCTACTAAGCCTAGACTTAAGCCTAAACGTAAGCCTAAGCCTAAGCTTAACTTACTAAATAGCTAGCCTTGTACGTTAGTCGAAAAATACAGTAGTAAACCCCTTAAAGCTGAAAGATATACCTGTGAAATTTATACAGGAATTTGTAGCTCTGCGTAGCCTATCGTAAATTATCGTACAGTATCGTAGCCAGCTCTCGAAAACTAACTAAAACTATGCCTGATTGTAATTTTTCGATTAAGGATTCTTACTTTGCAGGATTAAAATACCCCAAATCTGTAAACCTGCAAATTTTCGTGAAAAATTTTAGCGATCTTTGGGCCAGTGTAGCCTGTCGTAGCCTCTCGTAAACTATCGTAAAGTATCGTACTCACCCTCGAAAACTGGATGCCTCAACAACCCATAACAAAAAGACACAAAATAATAAGCCGCACCGCGTCGCGTAGAGAATGATTAGCCCCACTAGCCACGCGTCATAACAGATATCTCCCAGGAGAAGCGGAAGAAGAAGAAGCCCCCCAGCTTCACCCCCACCCTCATTGGCTTCATTAAACGCCGAGCAGGCTTTACCCGCCAAAAAATGACCCCGCCCCAGGCTATTTCCGGCTAAACTCGTCACCTTTTCGGGGGTGGAGCAGCCGGGCGTTTCTTTGCAAACAAAGCAAACATTCCTCCCTCTAACAATGAATTGCACGGGATCAACCCCTTTTTAAGGAGATTGAGAAGGTTGAGCCCGAGTTTTTGTCGCGTTAATTCTTGGATGTCTGGCCGGAAGATTTGATTCCTGTGACGATGGCGTTCCCACGCGTTTTTTCCGGTTTTGACGGCTTGGAAATGATGAAACTTTATGGGAATTAGAGAAATTTTTATTTTAAAGCGACAATTACGCGAAAACTGACAAAAATTGGAGAAACTGCAACGAGCCCACAGAATCAAGGTGTACAGTGTAGCTACGTGTAGGCGGCTTTGACAGCACAACGAATCAACAGAAAATAAAGATAGTGAGCTTAATCTGGTACTGGACTCTTAACGGGGGGATGGATCAGAAATCCAGAGAAAAACAACGAACGCGCAGAATAAGGTGTACAGTGTAGCGCCTTGTACGCCACTTATCTAGCTTTTTACGCGGTTTTTAGGTATCGAAAGTTTTTTAAAAAAGTAAAAATGTACGAAAACGTTCAAAAGTCAACTTTTTAATTTTTAGAGTTTTTAGAACTTTCTAATATTTTGAATTGTTAAAAACACTATTAAAATAGGCTAAGTTTTGCAAAAAAAAACTGGCTGAATAAACAAATCCCCCGCTAACGACCCAGAACCCCTATTTCTCAGATCGAACTCGGCATCCGTTTCGGCAAAACACTGATCATCGACGATATCGTCGACATCCCGCCCGTTTTGCACCCACTTTTACGCCGTGATTTGTCATCCCAGGGCCCTAGACAGGTATAAAATACTCTTTATTTAGCTTTTTACTAACTATAAAATCCCCCATTTTTACCTACCTTTCCAGGTGGTCGTCTTCTGCGACAAGGCCCTCGATTTCCACGCCGACTTCCGCCTCCTCCTCTGCACCAAGAACGAACGACTCCAACTAACGGCCACCGAAGCGGCAGCCCTCCAACAAGTCTCCTTCATCACTACCAGAAGCGGCCTATCCGCCCAGCTGCTCGGCCTCGCCATCCGCTTGGAACGCCCGGAGCTCGAGCTCAAGTCCTCGGAACTAACGAGGGGCGCCGAGGAGATGAAGATGCAGCTCGAGGCCCTGGAATTGAGCTTGCTACAGGAGTTGGCTTCATCAGAGGGAAATCTTTTGGAGAATACGGCCCTGCTCGACTCGTTGAACAAATCGAAGGCAAATGCGGAGACGATTAGTAAAAGTATTGCCGAGAGTGAGCGGCTGAGAACCGAGTTGCAACAAGTCAGTTTTCGTGTTAAACTTTTATTGGTTCCAAAAACGCCGAATTCCAAATTTTTAGCCACGGTGGCCCTGTAAAAGACTTACAAATATTTTTATTGACTTTTTATGAATTTGAGCTATATTTTCGGTCGAAAAAATCGGTTAAAAACCTTAAAAATGCTAGCAAAAATGAAATTTTTGGAAAAATTAAGTTTATATATTTTTAACCGAATATTTGTCAATTTTTTGCGTTTAGAAATAACAAAAAAACAGTGTCGAAACACGATCTATGCCATGAAAATTTTAAGAAATAAGCGTTATTATTTTGTGTTTCAGCAACGCGAAGGCTACCTCCCACTGGCGGAATATGGATCATCCCTCTTCTTCGGCTTCTCCTCCCTGCACTCCGTCAACCATATGTACAACTTCAACGTCAACACCATTCTCCATCTCTTCGAGGCCACCATCAAAAATTGCAAGGATACCTCGTCAACGCGGCTTGATGCGTTGCGGCGCGAGCTTCAGGTGGGTTTATAGTTTTTAAATGGATTTCAAGGTTTCTTTTGGGGTTTACCGGAAATTCCTAGATATCAAACTATGCGTCGCGTTGAAAATTTGTATTTTGTAGTTTTAAAAATCCTTTAAAATGTCTAACTTTTAGGTGTCCGTGTTCCACCACGTGACGCGCTCGTTGTTCAAAGCCGATCGCCTCCTGTTCGCCATCCAATTCGTCCACGCCACCCAGCCCAAAATGTTCCAGCCAAATGTGCGTAAATAAGCATTTGTTTCTTATTTTTTAATTGTATTTATTTTCGTGTATTTTTTAGGAGTGGGAGCTGTTCTCCGGGAGCTTAGTGGTTGAAGCACGCGAAGCCGGATACTCGATCCAGAATATTGGATGGATAGAGGAAGAGCAAAGGACTACCGTGGCTAGATTACAAGTAGTTTTTTCTAGTTATAATCGTATGTATAATGCATTAAATGTAAAATTAAAATAATTAAGACAAATTCGTTGGTTTTAAGATAGCATTTTTACAATTTTATCATTCTTTTTTATTTGTTATACGGGTTTTAGCAAACTTTTTCAGACAAGTCTTCCCGCCCTCTTCAACACGCTACGCCTAGAAGACACCGGGACCTGGGCAGAATACTCAAGAACGACCGAAGCGGAAACTGCCGTGCCTTCAGATATCTCAGCCAAGATTACCCCGTTCCAAAAAGTAAGTTTTTCGGCACTGGAGCTTGAGCTGTACGAATTTTCAGGTGCTTTTGATCCAAGCCACGCGCCCCGGACGTCTCTACGCTTGTTTGCAAGCTTTTTGCCAGGTAGGAAAACTGCGAAAATATTATTTTGCGCTTTTTAGACAGCCCTTGCGCTCCCGGATCTGAACCCGCCGCCCTTTGACCTCGGAAATGTGTTCAGCGACTCGGATAATGGGCATCCGATTCTCTTGTTGATTGCTGGGGGTGTGGATCCGTCGCAGGTACGTTTTTGACGCTGAAATACACTAAATTATCATAGGAACTCGAAGAACTTGCGCGAAAAACGATAGGCACTGAAAAGCTGCACTCTATCGCCATGGGACAGGGCCAACAAGAAGCGGCGGTTCGCGCTTTGAGGAAGTAAGTACAAGGTTCTTTTCACTTATTGGGGGAGGCGGAATTTTTTGTGTACGTCTAGAAATGTCTAATAAATTAATAGGATGTCTTTTAATAGTGTTTTTAGGAGAATATAACTTTATTTGAATTATAAAAACTATCTAAAAACTTTCAAAAAGTCGAAATTTTGGTCGAAAATTCGGTATTTTTGTATTCTTGGTTACAAATTTATATTTTTACGGTTAGGAATAGTCAAAAAAAGTTTAGAAAGACTTCCGCTATTTATATTTGGAAAAGGCATCCGAAGAAAAAAGGGTCATCCGAAAACTTTTTAGATGTGCTGCCGAGGGCGGCTGGCTCTATCTGCAGAATATCCACCTGATGCTCGCCTCGATTCCGGTCATCCAAAAGGTGACTTTGAAAATGGTTATAAGACAGTCTTTTTTTAGGAGCTTGGCATCGAAAAGCATGAAAACTTTCGACTTTGGATGACTGCCGAGCCGGATGATCGGTAAGAAACTTCAAATTACAAAACTAATACTCAAAACTCAGATTCCCGTCAACACTGCTTCAAGATTCCCTAAAAATCACCTTTGAAGCACCTCCTGGAATCAAGAATAATTTGCTAAGGTTTAGATCAACTGTTTGGTCAAGAATAATGGGATTTTTAGGTCCTTAACCAGCGCAGAAGACCGACAACGCAACGCCGTCTGCTCACAGGCCATTTTCGTGGTGGCCTGGCTGCACGCGCTGCTCCAGGAGCGTAGAACATACATCCCGCAGGCCTGGACGAAATTCTACGAATTTTCCTCGGCCGACTTCCGCGTCAGCACTGCCGTTGTGGACACGATGACGAATAATCGGAGTCAGGGTTTTCAAAGCATAAGATTGGCTTGTAGCCTTTCTTCTTGTGAACTTGATAGTTAATAGGGTGCTTTCGCATTAACGGGGGGGGGGAAGGGGGTTATCAGGGGATAACCAGCAACTCCAATTTTTCAAGTCGATAGCGGAAATGTTAACTATTTTTTACTATTCCTACACGTAAAAACTTTACAAATTTTACTTAAAAAATCCAAAAATATAGCGATAGATACAAAACATAAGATAAAAATCCTAAAAATCTTCGAAAATGGCCTTTTACTAAAAATTACTAGTTTTAGCATTGTTTATACAGCAAATAGTTTTTAGAAACCTTAGGAAAGCCGTTTTTCATATGTATTTATAATCCTATAATTTTAGCCCCGGAATGGGAGTTCGTACGTGGCACTCTACAGGAAGTAATCTATGGCGGACGCATAGAAAGCTCGTTTGATATGCAGGTATTTTTAAGGCGGATGGTAAGGTAGAGCCGATTCAGGTTCTTGCTGCTTATCTAACGTCACTGATCAACGGCGATCGAATCACAGGCCGTGAGGGCCAATTGGCAGCCGGAGTCACGTTGCCCGTCTTCGATCGCCTTCAGGATTACCTCCGCTTTGTCAACCAATCCATCCCATCTATCGATGCCCCCGCACTGTTCGGCCTCCCCGCCAATATCGGTTTCTCGTGGCAATTGGCTGAGGGAAACTCGACGGTTCAACGGTTGAAAATTGCAGGTAACCCTATCTTAAAATCAGAAAATCGGTGCTAGTTAATTACCCGGGGGGGGAAGGGCGGGGCACGGAATAGACATTTTTTATAGAATTTTCGGCTATAAAAAGTTAATAAAATTTTTTTTGTCAAAAATACATTAAAAAATTGTAGAAAATGTCAAAACTTGTCAAAGTTTTTGGTGTTTTATAACTTATTTAATACTCGGAAACCACTAAGAACTATAAAATAGTGTATTTTATGAAAAATATAGGTGGGCTAAATCAAAAAGTTAGCCCTCCGGCAAATTAATCAGAACCGAAAAATCGCCGTTTTTCAGGCTCCACCACAGCGCTGTCGGATCGTAAAGAATGGGCTGATGCTGCCCAGCCATTGCTGTCGCTATGGAAGAAGTTGTGTTCGGTAGAAGAGACGCAAGAATTTTTAAATGTTTAATTTCAGGGTGATGACCTACATTCCCGACCATTACCCCCTGTCACTGAAAGTCAGGACCCGCTCGAAGAGGTGCTACAGCTAGAGCTTGTTCATGCTTTGAAAACTGTAGGTTTCACACAAAAATCAGCAAGTATTTAAATTACAAAAAAGCCAACAACTAAAATCTAGGTCCAATCCCTCCACACCGCCCTGACTTCACTCTCAAAAATGATCCGGGGCACGCAACTACCCGACAAATCTACGACGGCGATGATCACCGCGCTTTGCCGCCACGAGACCCCGGATTTATGGCAGGATTTGTGGACCGGCCCTCAAAATCCGGCCGAATACTTATCTACGCTTCTCTATAGGTAAGTAGAAAAAGGGAAAGGAATATGTTTTAAAAAATATCTTCTATCAGACTATTGAAAAACACTTCATCAAAATAAAAAAGCCGAAAACAACCCCTTTCAGAACCAAATCCACCGAAAACCTCGTCAAAGAGGCGAAAAGCGGCGAACTCCTCAGCCGACCAGTCGACCTCTCTCAACTCCTCCGCCCCACCTCGCTGCTCACGGCCCTACGCCAGAAGACGGCAAGGGTCAAAAAGGTCCCCATGGACGAGCTGGTGCTCCGCAGTGCCTGGAATGCGCAGCTTCTTCAAGACCACCTTAGCGTCACGGTGAAAGGGCTACTGCTGCAAGGCGCATTATTCGAATCGGTCCTGAAAGAAGTTTCTACCTCTTCCGCGCCCTACAGCCAGGCCCCACCTCTCACCCTCGCGTGGACACCGATGGTCAGAAAAGCTTTTTTTGTCTTAATTTTCAGCATTATAGGCGTCATCTAACGTCTATTCGTCCTCCGAATCTGTACTAGTTCCGATTTACACGAATGCGGGTAAGTAACGGCAAAAATAGACAAATTTTTCATTATTTAGAGCGCGAGACCCAAATCGCCACCGTCCAGATGCCCTGCGGCCGTGACACTAACAAATGGAACATTGCATCGATTGCCCTTTTCTTGAAATGATTGCTTTTTAAAGCTTTCATAACAATACATATCATTTGTCGCGTGTATTTCTGTGATCTCGTTAGGAATAGAAGTTTTAAGATTGTATGATATGATGCGATTATTTAGCGAATAAATTGTTGTAACTATATATCGCGATTGAAGGAGCATGAATTATGTAGAACTACGAGAAAGTACAATTTTCAAGCTATTTCTTATGCGAACAGTTTGATTCCTGGCTAAAAACGCTCACAAGCACGCTTACGACATGTAATACTATCGACACTTTTCTTTTCTCGGAAAAGCCACCGGCTTCTTCATTATTTCTTTTTCTTTGAAACCTCTATAAAAAGACTTAATTTCAGAGCCAAGATGTTCAAGAAATTCGAAAAAGAAGACATTATGGGCGGCGGCACCCAGCTGAAGTCGAGCGTCCAGCGCGGAATACGCAGCAAACTGTTGGAACAGGTGTTTGTCATTGATCTTGGATTATCGATACCTTCATGATAGTTCCCGCATCTGGAGGGCCATCTGGAAACGATATTGCCGAAGAAGGAGACGCTCAAAACGATCAAGTGCAAGGAGCACGTCGAATTGGTGCAGAGCCACGACGGATTTGTGTATTTCATCAAGGTCGGCGCTCTTCTCATGGATTTTTATACGATTTTAGACTCGTGATGGCCTATTTTTGCCAACATTGCGCCTGCTTCACAAGTACCCATTTATTCTGCCCCATCAGCAAGTCGATAAGGTTGGCGGAAAGACTAGAAATTCATTATTGTTATTTTCAGGGTGCCATCAAGTTTGTACTGAACGGATCACACATCATGTGCCCAGGATTGACAAGTCCAGGAGCTGTTCTTTTGCCGGAAGTGCCGAAGGGACAGGTATAAACTAAAAAACTTCAAAAACTATGTTCCTTTAGATCGTTGCAATCATGGCCGAGGGCAAGCAGCACGCGCTAGCGATCGGAGTGATGGCGATGAGCAGCGAGGAAATAAAACAAGTAATTCATCAGCCTATAACTAAATATACTCCTGATTTTTCAGGTAAATAAGGGTACCGGCATCGAAAACATGCACTACCTCAACGATGGAATGTGGCATATGACGCAAAACCCGATAGCCTAGAATTTTCTGATTGCTGTATTTTTCTCTTGTTGTTGCTGACTTTTATCTCCTTTCTTCGACGTGGATTTTTTGCTGTTCTCTCCGTTTCCCATTTCGCCGGGTCATTCCTAATATAATAAACAGTTCCATTTCCAGGTATGCATCGGCTCGGGATTATTATTCCGCGACGGGGCGCTGCAACGGCCAGCGCGACCAAGAAGATCGTCATCCAGCCAAAGATTAAGGTTTTTAGGGGGGAATTTTGTTCATATTCTTTTTTCAGAGAGGTCCAACTGAACTGCTCGAAGCGTTGGCCGCGACTGTTGGTCCAGATCCGACGGCCCCTCATTTTGCCTTCATCGACGACCCTGCCACTATCCCATCTCAAGCGGCTACAAAACGAAACTACCTGCTTGCTAAGGTTAGTTTTATAGGAAATTATCTGCCGGAAAACTCTGGAAGACCCTAATCCTTTATTTTAGGAACTAGGGCGTCGAGCCGCTAGAGGATTGGCAGAAGAATGGCCGACTCTTTTTGCCTTTGACCGTGAAGTACCGCGTCTAGACGTTTTTCGCCCGCAAAAGACCCTGGATCCAGCCTTGGTAAAAACATTCCCAGATTGTCATTATTCTCTGATTTAGATGGAGCCTACCGAGTCCAAACTTGACGAGCTGATCGAGGCGAGAAGGGTCGAGGATGCAGCCATGCTTTTCGAAAAGATGAGAGGCGACAATGTCGAAGTCTCCGCCAAAGCCCAAAGGAAATTATTCCTTCTGCTCACATACTATGGTGGCAAGAACCCGCCGACCTTTGAGAACATTGAGTGGCACGCACTTCGGGTTTTTGGCGTTGATCAACCAGAATGGAAGGTAAGACTCTTCAGCAGCGATTCATTACATCGATTCTAGGCTGACCTAATCGAGCTCCTCTACGAGACGCTGGAAAAAGATGCTGAGATCAAGTCGGCAATGATTTGTGGCTTTTCCAAGTACAAGGCCGGCGACGCCAAAGCGCTTTCTATTTTTAAGGTGAATTTTGGGTTTACACTAAAAGCAATTCTCTGCAGGAAATGCAAGCCGCGAAGGAGGTACCGCATATTGAAGCGTACAACTCGCTGATTGCCTCCCTGAAGCCAAATGTATGCTAAATGTTGCTAGCGGCGAAGTAATTCTTTAGCAATCCGGCGAGCTACTGAAGTCAATGGCGGACAACAAATTGCAGCCCAACGTTGACACTTTCAATTCGCTGCTCGTGGCGCTAAAGAAGGTTAAAAACTTTTGTTTTCGAAGATTGGCTCGTTTAGTCATTCCACGCTGAAGCGGGGCCCATAAAGAAGATCAAGGAGTTTTCTCGAGTGCTCGGCGAGATGAAGCAGTTGAAAATTCAGCCAACTCTGCACACCTATGCCATTATTTTGAGCGCTTTCTATTCGCCACCACCTATGGAGCGCGACACAAAAACGCCAGACACTGGAAAATCTGCTGATAAGGTATCATTTTACAAACTTTTGCTGTGCAGAGAATTTTTAGGCAGCTGGCATCACGGCGCTCGCCGAGTTTTTGCAAGTCCTTGAGAAAGCTGCAAAGGTTGAGGTACGAGATACTCGCTTTTTATCTGACTGTTATTTTTAGCTACACGGAATCCACGATCACACGTTCTTCACCATTGCCATGAAGATTTGCCAAGACTGCGGGAATGTCGACATGGCCAACCGGGTACTGTCGCTCTACACCGACGCGCGCAATGAAGTGAAAATGCCAGCTTTTACCTATGAGAACAGGTGTGCAAGTTAAGAATCGTCAAAACCGGCCTATTTTAGTTTTTACGAATCCTATCTACTACTGAATATTGAAACTGCCGTTTCATTGGACGAGCTTGAAAAGGTGTACAAGGTATGTTAGAGATATCAATGCTATCAAAAATTTACCTAGAAATTTGTGCCGAACTATGTGGGCATCAGCCGATGGCTCGTCTACAGAATGTTGAACAAATTGAGGGTAATCCGAGTTCTTATTCATCTAGAAAAATTTTTAGGACCAAGACCATTGGAATCTGTCGAGACGGTTGATCGAGGATTCGATTAACGCACAACACCTAGAAGTCGCTTCCATCGCTGGGCGTCTTCGTGGCCTTTTGATAGGGCTAGATTTTACGGTTAGTTTAACTCATTTAAATTTATTGTTTTTGTAACCCAGCCATCATTAATTTCTCCATTCAGGCACTGAGCCCCTTCCAACGTGAAGAATTCACCATGCTCGTGCGCAAGATGGTCGATGTCTGGATAGAGTACAGCCGATTCAAAGATGAGCGAAAGAAGCGGAAGCTGACTTTCAGCACGGTGCCGTTGTCATTTATTTCGTTATCCACCCCATTTCCAGGTTATCGAATCGGCACTTTTGTTAACAAGGATTGGCGACGATGCCAAAGCGTTGGACTTGCTGCAGCTGTTGTTTGACGAAAGCGCGACTACGGTATTTCTTTCCAGGTTAAAACAAGCTATTTTTAGGGTGAGGAGGCCAGTGTTGATACAGCCGGATTTGTTCACGATCGCCGGCTCGTCGAGCTTTTCGACCATGCGCTGAGACAAAAGAATGTCGAAATGGCTACCGTCGTCCTTGAGGTTTCATTTTTTGAAGGCAAAAATATTTTTTTGTTCAGTTGATGTCCCGATTCTTCTCGAAGGCCCAGCTGCAATACCAGGCTTCACGTCTTTCCGAGCGCTGCGGCCTCAACAAGGACCAGACGCGCATCATCGAAGGTTTCATTCGGTTGCGCCCCCAATAGTGTACAAAACAACCTAGAGCTAGTTTTTTGTGTTCCGAATAGTCCCCCGTTTGTTGTTTGTTTGAACTGTTTTTATATATATTTGTGTTGCGACGAAAGAATTTCATCCCCTTTATTCAATGGCACTGTATCTTGTCAGAAGAAATAAGAAAGAACAACCCTCGCGGTAGCCCAATGGAGATTAATTTTTGCGAATACAAACGAACGAGGAATAGACCAAAAAATTTGGGGAAGTCGATGTCTTGAATTTCCGGCCTAGGCTTCAGGCGCGTACTGGACATGGGTGAAATTTTTGGAGATTGTTTCGGCGAGTTGTGGCGATCCTGTAGTGAGAACACAACGGCCCATCACGTTGAATTCCGAGCCTGTAAATATGCGCTCATGCTTTAAAAAACGACGAGACAAACTTCGTGAAATGGGGTAGGATAACCTTTAGCTTACCGTCCGGATTGTTGACAACGCCACCAGCCTCGCGGACAATCACCGCTCCGGCCGCAACGTCCCATGCGTGAATACCGTACTCGATATACCTGAAAATCGTATTTGTAAAAAATTGGCCACTTACCCGTCGACGCTCCCCTGCGCCACCATCATCATATTAATGGCCGCCGAGCCGAAAGACCGATTCCTAAACCAATTTTGTCATCAACAAATTTTGAAATTTGGACGGACCCTTGCGCGTTGAAGCCGGACATTAATGTTTTATAGCTGTCAATGAATGAGATCATCATTTCTGGGCGCCGGTCTGATCCCAACTGCGTTATAATTATGCTCCTTTGGATATCTAAATCGAGATAAACACTATTTACATTAGCGGGTCTTTATTTTGTTTGAAGGCTATTATTTTTTATGAAATGGGGTCCCTAGGCGCGCAAAGGTCCGTGACAAGTCGAAAACTTTGCCTGGCTCACCCGCGAAATCCCGCCTCCACCAATTTGCGCTGGTTTGAAAAGTTGATGTCGCACCAATTGGGGCCAAACGATTCTTTGAGATTATGGATGCCGAGCGAAATGGCCACCAGGGCTTTCGACAATTCTGGGACCACTCTATCAAATCGATTTTAGAATTTACCTGTGGTTTTTGAAGCGTGGATCGGGAATCCATTCTTCAATGCTCCGCCGCCGACCTGAAAATAAAAACAATTAATGGAGAGGGACCGCCAAACCTGGGCCGAATACAACTCGTTGGTGATCGGATTGTAGATGATGCCGCCTCGAAGTTGCTTCTTAATCGATAGCCCGACGCAAATGGCGATCAGGGGAATCCTGTATGACAGATAGTTGGGGGGGGGGGTGGGTTTGGGGGGGGGGGGTTTGGGGGGGGGGGGGGGGGGGGGGTTTTTTTTTTTTTTTTTTTTTTTTTTTTTGTTTTTTTTTTTTGGTCTTTTTTTTTGACTTTTTTTTTTTTTTTTTTTTTTTTTTTTTTTTTTTTTTTTTTTTTTTTTTTTGTTTTTTTTTTTTTTTTTTTTTTTTTTTTTTTTTTTTTTTTTTTTTTTTTTTTTTTTTTTTTTTTTTTTTTTTTTTTTTTTTTTTTTTTTTTTTTTTTTTTTATTTTTTTTTTTTTTTTTTTTTTTTTTTTTTTTTTTTTTTTTTTTTTTTTTTTTTTTTTTTTTTTTTTTTTTTTTTGATTTTTTTTTTTGTTGTTTTTTTAAAAAATTTTTTTTTTTTTTTTTTTTTTTTTTTTTTTTTTTTTTTTTTTTTTTCCTTTCCGGAGAGGTGAAAAATTTTTTTTTTTTTTTTTTTTTGGAAAAAAAAAAAAAAAAAAAATTTTTGCCCCCCCCCAAAAACCCCCCCCCCCCGGAGCACAAAAAAAACCAAATATTTAATAAATTAAATTCACACAACCTGTGTACGAAATTGGTGGTTCCATCGATCGGGTCGATGATCCAGGTCGGCTCATCGCCCCAATGGATTTTTTCACCTCCGGAGACCGACTCCTCGCCGATAAATCTTAAACGAAAAGGGTTACAACTATTACAAATTGCAATCCTACTTATGGTCCGGAAATGCCGCTCGGAGTCCATCGATCAAATATTTCTCGACGGCGCGATCGGTTTCTGTGACGAGATCCGTCTAAAAATATTTACATTTAGAACATTTACAACTCACATTTGAAGATTTAGTCTCAACGGCAGACGCTGGTTGCTCAAAGGCCTCGCGTACAATCTGAAAAAAAAGAATTGTTTCATAGCTTCCAAATTTCAATACCCGGCCAGCAGACTTCACCAGGCCAAGCGCGGTATTGAAGAATTTCTGTTCGTCGGGATGAATCGCCTCAAATACCATCGCTAAAACGAGAAATCTAACGTGAGCCATAAAGTATAGCATTACTCTATAGAAACAGAAATAAAAAAGGCAATAAACGGCGATCCGTTTTTATCAAGACTCAAAAATTATCAATAACAAATATTTATTATTTTGCGCAATAAATAGGCCATCACCCAAAATGAATATAATCTCGGCCCTCGGTCCATCCCTTTTCTGCGATAATCCGTTCAAAGTCGCCGCCAGTCAGGTCCTGCTTCACGCAAATAATCACCGGGGGAACGGCAAGCCTAAAAAGCCCGTCTCAAGGTCAATTAATAAATCCTCACGCGACATCGAGGACAGGGATCGTTGTAACAACTCTTCGAAGAACGGGGTCGAAGTCTTCGAATTTCCCGTGAGCAATCTTCTTCCGGTCGACGTCATAAAATCGAGTAACTCTTGACTGGTGCTCGGGGTCGAGGGATCTAAAAAATGTTAGGGTCTGTAGGGTCTCAAAAATCATATAAATCCCGTGTTAACGCTTGTACGCCGTTTTTAGCTCTAGCAAGTTCATAAAAATCATGAAAATTTGCGAAAGCTTTAATTTTTGGTAAAAAATATGTATGAAAATGGCGTTTTAAAGGTTTAATTTCGTACTTATGTTTTTAAAGGCTTAACCTTTTTTTCAAACGCTAAATATGCCCCCCGCTAACAGAACAGTACCCAAAAATGATAAAATCAAAAGGAACCCACTTGAAAAAGCGTTTTCCCTGCTTGCCAACGCTCCAGATGGCAAAGTGGGGCCAGAGAGGAAGTGCCCTCGACTGAAGGCGTCCCATCCGCGCCCGCCAAATTGATTCTTCGGAGACGCCGAGCGAGGCACAACGGCCGTGATAGCGGTACACCACCAGCTCGTCCGGCAACTAAATCGCATAATTGGAGGAGGGGAGGAGGAGAGGGTGGCTTGTGGTGGGTCGATTCGGGCCCTCGGGCTTCAACGAGCCAGTAATGGGGCCATCCTTCGGAAGCGGAAATGGACGAACCGTCTCATTAAAAAATGCGCTGACAGAAAAACAAGCGATTCGTACAATCAAAACATGGAAGTAATAGCTGATTTAATGGAATTTTTACGACGCTTTTAGATAGAAAGTTCACAACATGTTCAGAAAAGTTATATTTTTGGATTTTGGTCAAAAAAGTGTGCCATTTTTCCTAAAGTTTTTAGGAGCTTTTGGTAGCCGGAAACCCTAAAACTAAAAACAGACCAGGCTTCCCCCCACCCCGATACCACACCAGAACCAAAATTTTTGTGCGAAACGTAGCCATTGGTCCTTACCAGAAACTAAAATATTTTTACCTTGATCAACGACACCCCATGGTCTAGTGCTCGATAGAAAAAGTCGAGATCTTCGGGGTAACCGGTCGTGTGGAGCTGGCAAAAGCCGCCGAGCTGCTCGAATAGTGCGCGTGGAACGCACCACGTCGGAGCGATTAGCGTAGGGCCATGAGAGGTAAAAATCTAAATCTGTTTAGAGATTGATACGAAGAGCACCTACTTGCAAAGATAGAAGCTCATCAGGTAACGTGTTTGCCCAGTTTGTATATCTTGTCGTCGAGTCGGGAGGATCTCTTCGGAATCGAGACCCCAGGAATAATCGGTGTCTCTCCTGTAATAAAGTATGAAAATCGTGTATTATCGACGCGCTTTTTGCACAATAATTTAACAAGGCGCTTCAATACTAACCGTTTCCGGTTGACTTAGGATACATTCCTGCAACCGCCGCAATCTTCTGGGATCCGAAATATCATCAGCGTCACAGAAACAGAGAAAAACACCGGAACCCTGTCGAATCGCAGCGTTCTTCGCAAATCCGACACCTGGAAGCGATACGCATTCAGTTGCTAGGTTTGCACAAACCTCCAGAATTTGCACCTCTTCCGGCAATGAAACGGATCCCCTTTTCCGTGAATAGCTTCTCGTAGCGATTTATGCATTCCCGGGGTGCTGTCCGTGCTGCCGTCGTCGAAAATGCTTATCTGGAAAGGGGAGATTTGTTGGATATAAAGGTTCCGAGGTACTGGACTGTTAGCGGGGGTGAATTTTCGCAACTTCTTGCTTTTTGGTTAAAAATATATGGAACTTGATCGAAAACGTAAAAATTTCGAATTTTCAAAAAAAACTGAAAATATTTTTGTAACTTTCTAGCCAGCAAAAATTACGAAAAATATTTTAAAAATACACTATTTACTATGAACAGGTAGGCATAGACGGCCTAACAAAAATTAGTTCCCCCTCCGCTTACCTCATACGAGCAAGATGGGAAATCCTGAGCCAATAACGAATCCAGACATTCGCTGAGATACGGGACCCCATCCTTTACGGGGATTACACACGTCTAATAATAAGTAATTATTGGATCTTTATAAAACCTACAAAAAACGGCTCCTTTAACCCGTCCAGCTCGTCGAGGGCCTCTGAAAATACGCATCTCCTTTTGTTCAGCAACCTCGATAGCCATCATTTCACAACGTTTCCCGCTTTCCAAAAAACAAAGTGACCAGAATGTTTATCGAAGACAGATGAATAACCAGGCAAAATAAGCGCTGAGACCCGTATAAATAAACTCAACAACGTGTCAATACCGCAAAAAAAACGAGAACAACAAGCACTAACAAAATATACACGTGAACAAAACAACAGGCCACAACCTCAGCGTGATAAGCAGGCCATTGTGCGCCGCTTCAGACCGGTTCGATCCTCGCTCTCCTTGCCATGGAAAATTGGCCACCTAGAAAGTAAAAATTTACAAGCTAAACGCAGAAAAACAAACCAGTCTTTTCTTTCGTCCCAATGATTGGCCCAGGAGTGGTTAGGTGCCAAGCCCAGTGCGCATTCCAGCAGGGACCAAGCTCTACAAATAATGGAACTAGATTGTTAGCGGGGGGGGGGCGGCCGAGCATATATATACCCCCATAGCCAAATTTAAAGAATTTTATTTTGTATTTTTAAATTTGTGGTGGATGATTAAAAGCTCGAAAAGCCATATTCAAAAATTTGAAATTTTGAGATTTTCGGTCATTTTCATTGATTTTCACCGAAAATCAACGTTTTCGAAACTTTACCAATTTTTTCTGAAAATTCAATACCTAAAAATCGCGTAAAAAGGCATAAAATACGATTATTTATGCACGCAAACCAAGAAAAAAAAATACGAATTGGGAACCCGGAGCAATTGGCTACGATTGTTTTACCCCCCCCCCCCCGCTAAAAGCCCAGTACCGGAATAATTATGCTCTGAAAAATGTGTAATTGCCACCTCTCATCATTCCGATTCTCGGCATAATCGAGGAAGGCGATGAGCACCCCAGCCACCTCAATCGCAACTTCTTCCTGCGTGCCTCGCCTAGGAAAAAACGTTTAGGCTAAAAAAGTGACACTACTCTTCATAAAAGCGAGCCGCTCTTCTGCCCAGTCAACCCAGATCTGTTCGGCGGGGTGGACGTCTTTAGTGGGTTCAGGTAGCATCTAAATTCAAAAATTTCTGCACAATAAAGTTCCGCCCACTCGTCGAAGCACCTTCTGTTCCGCTTCCGGAATATTATACGGACGAATCGTTTCCAAGACCATGGTGGCGATCTTCGGTGATTCTGGGAGACTGAGCAACAGATGGTGAACGCTGAACAAATCTTTAGCGTTTTTTTGACTACACCAACTCTTGGGCGTCCTGCAACATGCCGGCGTTGTGCAGCACCCGGGCGGCGAATCGGAGGAAAAGCTCGGTCTCGGGCTCGGCGTTAAACTCGTCCATGAATTTCTGAAATTGCATGACTTTTAGAATATCACTGAATAGTGTACCAGAAGTTGTTCGACCAAAAATTCGGCCTTTTCCGGGCCCTGGCTAGGGTTATACAATAGACCGTCGCTGAGGATGGGGATGATCTTCGCGTATATGGCATCCTAAATAGGGGGTGCAAGGAAGCGGAACTGAACTTTTAGCGGGGGGGGGGCTAACTTTGCTGCTGCCTTTGGGCTATTTTAAGTTTTGAAAATTCATAAAACTTATAAAGTTTATCGAAATGTGTCCGTTTTTCGGGAAAAATGTAAGACGAGGGAAAAATCTTTTTTAAAAAAACCAAAAATTTCAGCACCTTTTAGTAGTCAAAAACTACCAAAAACACTAGAAAACGCTAAAAAATCTTACCAAATCCACTCTCACTAAAAGCCACCCCCGCTAATAGCCCAGTACTGTTAAAGTCACAAAAATCCTCACATCAAGCACTTCCGGAATCAACGAGCGATATTCGAGCAATTCCCGCACTTCCTCCATTCGTTTCCACGCCAATAGTGTGATGCCGGTCAGGAAATAGCTCAGCACCGAGTTCTCTCTAGAAATCGCTTTTAGAGCAGTTGTTCCCCCAATGATTTACCTAACAAGATCAGCATTATCCGGGTCGACTTGCTTGGCCAAAAATAGTTGAGTAACTTGTAGCATATAAAAGACGCGAGGCGTTCGATCTATCTAAAAATCAAATTGTAGCTAAGTAAAACCTGTGCGTTCTATACGTTTAATTTAATTAAAAATAATTTAAAATGTACCTTTGAAACAAGCGCGCGCTGAAGGGCGAATGGAAGGTATAGCGAGCCGTCTGGGTTAATCCGCGCGCCGAGGTCGACGTTGTATTGCACCTAAACACAAAAATTAAAAATACTCGATTCGACCAGTACCGCCTGCTGTTTCCTGCGCTTATAATCCTTCCACACTGTCACCTGACTTGTTCGTTCCAGATTGCGAAAAAAGTCAATAGTACCTGAAAGCGGTGCGAAAAAATCGTGCTAAAATACCACAAAATCTCCCAAGAAGGTCCCAGTCCTGTTGAGCAGCAATGTGACCGAATCGTTCGAGCAAAGCGGGCGCAATGAAGTAGGCAGCAAAGCGCGCTCCAGCCATGCTGGAAGCGGAAAATAATGACCGTCAGGTAGGTCTTTTTGTTTTGCGGACGATGCCTACCTGTTAATCAAAAATTAGGTATTTTTATAATGGTTTTCGTAGTTTTTCATTGCTAGAAAGTTACAAAAATTTTCTAAACCTTTTAAAAATTCGACGATCATGATTTCTCAAACATTTTTGACGAAAAAGTTAAACTTTTATATCTGTTATATGAGCTTTTTATATCTTAAAACTGCGTAAAATCGGGTAAAATGGTTTATATTTGGTTTTAGGACCTTACAGGACTCCTGGGAAAAACCAGAACCCCCTGCTAACAGCCCAGTACCGAAAATAACCTTCAAAGTTGGAGCAACGTACTCTCTCGAGTAACCCCGGTCGTACTTGAAGCCCTCTAGATATGCACGATAGGCGGCTAGATCGTTCTCATGCTTCGCCGCCGATTCGAGCCTAGAAATCATCTCGGTTCCAGTAAAACGTCGAAACACTCACATTTTCCGGATGTTCATCTTCTTATTGCGCCCGTACGCGTAAAAGTGGCCGTCGGGGGAGTCGTTCCATTCATTACTAAAATTGGAGTAAAGAAAAAGAAAAGTTCCCAACTTAAAGTTAACCCATTTGATGTCGAGGGAAAGACCATGCAGCCTGACCTGTTGACAAGCATTTAAGATCAGAGACTAAATCAGGTGGTTTTTTAATTCAAGAAAGTACCAACACTCTGAATCTCGTCTGATCGCCATCGCGTTTCATAAACCGAGATCAATTTTTCGAGAAGATGCTTTAATCGGGCGTCATCTGATGGGAAATAAGATTATTTTCAAAAATGATAGGCCTACCGGTTTTAGCTTCCAAATCAAGAGGCTTGATACGTCGAATATGTACAATGGTCTGTCGGTCGGGGGGCACATTGACAATTGAATGATCGCGTTGTTCTGGCTCTTCTTCGTTTTTGATCATTTCTCATGGATTCGATGTTTTTCTAAAAATATAGATAATCGGTGATTGTTGGAGAGGGAAATTAGCAAATGTCGCACGGTTAAATAAACATTACTAATCATAAAAATAGACATCATTAGCATAAACTATGTAATATTACATAGTAGTGAGTCATTGAGGTATCAGAGCATACTTTTTCGATTCGTCGGCTTGTAGAAATGGATCAAAATACATTTTCTTACCCATAGTATGCTCTGATACCCTATTTTACTATTTACAAAATATTATTACAAAGATTAACCGACTGTTTATTATCCTGTACGGTTTAATTAAGAAAATAGAACCATGCGACATTTGCCAATTGCCTTTCGGAGCGTTATATAAGTTTTGCTAAAGCGGAATTGCGAAAACTTTCGAAAGTAAGACCCTTATCGAGCCTTGGGTAGCTTACATTAAAATCCATAAGCTAGGAAGACGTGGAAATAGCAAATTTGGGGGGTTGAAAGGTATAGATCCCTAGATGGCCCCAGGTTTAGAGAAAGAGACCGTGGCAGGGGGGAGGGCTTGGGTGGCAAAAGGGGTGGTCGAGGCGGCAACAAGTGGTCCAGAGAGCTATTGGAAGGCGCCAGACGGAAAACAAATGATTTGCAGAAAAACAGAGCAGAGTCTAATTAACTTAATTGTTATAGTTTTAATTTTTAAACTAATTTTTATAAAGTGTTCAGAGGTTTGACGCTACACACCCATGAACATCAGCGTCAGCGTGAATCGGTGTAAACCTAGGGTAAATAGGTACATACGTAGCGTAAATTGGTGTACACAGAGCGTAAATAGGTCTATACGTAGCGTAAATAGGTGTATACGTAATAGCCAGACACGTGCTACGTGAGCGTCTTTTGGGGCCTGTACGTACGTTCATTTTTGGAGTAATTTCTCTGTGCATAGGCGGTCAGGTAGTGATTGGCAGTATCTGAAGAATCCTTAGCCTGGTTAGTAAAAATATAGCGTAGAAAAGGCGCACAAAGCGTCGTAGCAACCTAGAAGAGATCGTTTCGACGTTTTTGCTTAGAAAATTTGCATAAATCCGGCAGCGAACCGCAATTTGCTTGCAATTTAAGGTATTTAAGCTGCGCAAAAAGTATGATGCGCACACTCGGCAAACTCTCTCCTTCTCGCCGGCGACGTCGCGACCATGGGCGGCGCGAAGCCGAAGAAGCCGTCGAAGAATGACAAAAAGGACACGAAAGACTCTAAAGATTCAAAGGTACGCTTTTTTAATAACTAAAAAAATTACGAATTAGAGAAAGACATTCAAATTGTTGGCTAAACTCCAGATAACGGTAAGAGTCTAGAAAACCCCCCCCAGCCGGCACCAACTTTTGTATCTCGGCCCCGCTTTGTGCTAGCGAGCTCAAAAGTATACTGGTTCTAACATTTGTATCTCAGCTGCCCGTTATGCCAACGAGTTGTCAAGTATACCAAAATGTTCGCCTTTGTTTGGCGAGTATTTTGTTATACTTTACATCCCTGTAGCACAACCGGGACCAGTGGTGGAAAAATTTTTGTCCCAAAATGATCACTACGAGATCTCGTTCAAAAAACCTTTCTTTAGTTATAAAAGTTCTATTTGAAGGACAAGAAGAAAAAGAAAGACGAGAAGCCGAAAGACAAGCCCAAGCCGAAGCCGACGCGTAAGGTGCCGTCTACCGCCCAGGCGACGCTGATGCTCCGCACGCAGAGCGTCTCCCCGATGTCGGCCCTCCAAGATAATGCGACCCTCGTCAGCGGTTTTATCGACCGCACGTTGAAGAAAGGGCTGAAGGAATTGCGGGCTGAGTTTATGGCCAACAAACGGTATAGAAGTTTACTGTTTTCTTTGGTATCTATTTTTCAAAATGAATAGAAAAGTGTTTCTAAGCTGGTTTTACTATTCCTAAACTTAAAAACGATCGATTTTTTGATTAATACGAAAAGTATCGATTCTTCGACAAAAACGACAGATTTTCTCCTTAAATTTTGTTTCCGCGAAATACCGTTAATTTTTACTAAAAACCCTATGGAAAGCGCCTTTTCAGAACAGTGAGCAGGGATAAGACGACGGTCTTCTTGAAGAACATGCCGAAGAACCGATACAAAGACGTGCCATGTCTTGATGAGTACCGGGTCGTGCTCAGGGACTGCGACAACGACTACATCCATGCAAACTTTGTGGCGACGCCAAAGAGTGATAAGCGTTTCATCTGCTGCCAGGCACCGACTAATGCTACGCAGGTCGATCACTGGAGGTAACTCATAAACCTAATAATGGTTATTAGATACTTGAATTAGTCTATTAAATTCTGACAACCTTTTAAAGAATGATCGTGCAAGAACACGTCGAGGCGATTCTCATGCTTTGCAACTACTCGGAGGGCAGAAGGGAAAAGTGCGCTCAGTACTTTCCGACTACCCTGGAACCGCAGAAGACGTTCGGGCCCTTCACCATCAAATTGGTCAAATCCGAAAAGGTCAGCGATCAGATCGATTGTTCTTGTAGATTTTAGGTTCTTCGTATCGGATGGGGTTTGACTTTTTCTGTAGTATCCAACTTTTCAAATACAACGTGTTTCTACACTGATTTTTTTAGTATTCCTAAGCGTAAGAACTTTATATATTTATATAAGACAACACAAAAAAAAATTATTTTTGTACCAAAATGGCCGTTTTTTGGACAAAATATCGACTTTTTGAAAATTTTTAGTTAGTTTTCTACTTAAAATATAGTTTTTTGTATTATTAAAAACACATGCTCAAGTGCTTTAGTTGATCTGGAACTGCCAAACACCCGCAATCGTCAACACATCAACGCTGGAGGTGGAGCAGGATGGGATCAAGGTGCATGAACTCACCCATTATCACTGGGTTGACTGGCCAGACCGTGGTGTGCCGCCAGTCGACATGGGTCTCATGGAGCTGCTTCAGAAGATCTGCACTTCCACGTCCGTTTTATCTTACACATAAGCTTATATCCGTTTAAACATGAAAAATTCCCCGTTTAAAAAATTCTGAGTTTAGAAACCAACAAAAAAATTAAATTTTTCGACCAAAATTGGCCGATTGTCGACAAAAATTCAATTGTAAAATAGCCTATTAGAGCTGAATCGAGGAAGTTAATTTCCCCCGTTAAACCAGTACCTGACCGCATTCCAGGCAGCCGATCGTCGTCCATTGTTCTGCGGGAATCGGTCGAACCGGGGCCGTGGTGTTGATCCAGAGCTCGCTGGAGACGATCGCCGCCGGGTATGCGGTGCGAGAAATCGAAACCCTGATGAGAGAGCTTCGCAATCATCGCGCCAACTCTGTGCAGACAATTGAACAGTACCTCTACGTCCACATGTATCTCCTCCATGTTTTCGTGAAGGTAGGCGGCTAAACGGCGGCCCCAAATTACGGTATCTCGGCTTTGCTTCGGGCTGCAGGGGTGTTAGTTCTACCAAAATGATCGGTAGATTTTGGTATCTAGCTCTGATTATTTTATTCAGATTAAGACAAAGCCCTCTAGCTTCAAAAAAAAAGTTAAAAAATTGAATTTTCGAATTTTAAAATTTCCCCCGTTTTTAGATAAAAAAGCGGGTAAAAAAACTAGGGATTGGTCAAGATGTTTGAGAAATTACCAAAAAAAGCAGAATTTTCGAATTTTAAAGCGCACGTTCAGGGAGGGGCCGTGGACTCGTCCCAACGTGTACACCCTATGGACGTAGGGACCGCGCGCACTGCCTGCCCGTACTGTGACAGGCCATTCCCCTCCTTTGCGGCGTCGGGCGCCCCTCGCTCCCGAGCCAGGTTGTAGCTGTGGCTGACTGGTATCCATCCGCGCCTCCCGAACGGGGGGCCCGGGTTCGACCCCCGGCCGCGGCAAAAGTCCTTGCTTTTTTCCGAAAAAACGTCCCTGAACGTGCCCTTTAAACGATTTTTTGCGACCTTCTAGCAATCAAACACCACTAAAAACTCTATAAAAGTATATTGGAGCTTATTAAAAGGTGGATATAGACAAAAAAAAAAGAAAAATTAGGGTTCCTCAGTGTAAGAAATCTTCTGCCAAATTCCTGGAGATTTTTTGCCGCATTAAAACGCTTTTAAGGTAATTTTTTGATTCAGGCGAACATTTTGAGCTATTCGGCACATTAATAGGACTTATAGGCGAGTAGCTACGCAGCTGCTACTCCCTTTTTCAGGAGGGCTGGGTCCCTGACGAGAAGGTGGTTGCCGAGATCAAAGGCAAATTCACTACGGATTACGAAATAGCTGCTGCGGCTGCGTTGCAGAAGCTCAACGAGACGCCAGCTGGATGTAGGTCCCTATTTTACGCCGTATATCCCGTATGTTTCAGCTGCCGAAAAGATGTGATGTGCCACGCCGCCCTGCCGCCCGCCTTCTACTTGGCCACCTTACTACTTGTGCCCCCCGAAAACCTCTTAAGCTTTTTCTTTGATGTGAATATTTCGTTGTATTACATCGTCTTTAATTGTCTTCGCGTCGAATAAAGTGAAATGTCGGACCAAGCGCCATGCGTGGTTTGGGCTGGAGCTCACGTTGGGTCAGACTCTGATCTTGCCGGGGCCCGGAGTTCTGTGACTCGGCTCCCGGTTTTGATACAGGGATGTAAAGTATACCAAAATGTTCAGCTTGATCGGTAGAGTATACGGCAGATTTGAGCCGCCTCAAAAAGGTACAGAGCGAAGAATTTTGGCTGTAAAAGTTGGAATCCTGGTTTGGGGGATACAAATTTCGGAATTTTGCTGGATTTTCGGTGTTTTTAGACGCTAGTCGCCAGTTTTTTTTCCAAGCTTTCCAATTGAAGCTGTGTTTTTCTCAAAAAGCTGTCGCCGAGCTGTGAGAAAAATCGTAAAACGCAGCAATTAAGGCTTTTTGAAAAAACCATTTGATGAGCGATCGGAACCAAGACAACGTGCAGCCGAATTTGAAAGCCAAATCTTGTAAAACAAATCAGTTATCGCTAAATATCGGTTTTAATTCATTTTTTGATACGCGTTCCAAACTACAATTTTTCGCATTTTCGCAATTGGGATGGGGGTTTCAGTGGGTAACATACACCTTCGTTTTGGTATAATTCTTTTGGGTTTAATCGTTTTGCTTTGAAAAGCCGGCGGCACATAGGCTTTATCGATCCGCATCGCTGGTAAAAATTTGGATCCGAACGGATAGAAGACGTTGAAATGGCGATGGGTTTTACGCCGCTGACTTCAGGCCGATTTGGTCTCTCCGCGCAACCGACTACCTCACAGTACTAAATACAACTTCCATCGCATTTCAAAGTTTTGTACAAATTAGTGACAGTGGTTAGGATCTCCCGTGTGTGCCGTTGTCTTTTTTCTTCGGCTTCTCTATAGGTTTTGGGGGTGAGGGTTGATGGGGGTGGTATAGGCGGGAGAGAAGCACTGTCTCTCTGTCCCCTCTCCTCTCTCCCCACTCTCTCTTCCCTATCCCCTCCTATCGATTCCCTGTGTCTCTTCCCATCACCCGCTCTCTCACTCCCCCTTTCTCCTGTTGCCCAAAAAGAGTGAGAGATCTCCTTCTCCCCCCAATCCTCCTCCCCTCCCGGTTCTTATTTAAATTCGCTGCCAGAATATGACCGGTGCGGACCCCCGTGGGGTGTCGGCTTCTTGGGTGGGCCCCCAGATTTGGCCCCGCCCACAGTACAAACCAATCCGGTCTACGGTAGAGGGCCAAAGGGGTGTAGGACGGAGTGGGCCCGTATATAGCGACACCAAGCCATGGACTGAGTTTAGTAAAGTAGGCCTCCTCTTTGATCCTGTGAGTCCAAACTCTTGGAGGTGATTCTCCGAGCTCTAAAGACCTAGGAAAACGAGTATCGACTCAAAAGATAAAGGTTTACTGAAAAACGATTATCTTCTAGCAACGCCTAAAAATTACTTGAGATCTACTTATTTTTGGATTTTTCGCTATTTATTTGACTTTATTCAAGTGTTTTTAACGTTTTAAATACTTTTTACGCGAAATCTGCTATTCCTCAAAAGTTTCGCATATCTTGGCTTTTTTCCTTAGTTTTTCGGTTATTTGCCTCTACTAAATGTTAAAAAAAATGCTTCTAACAGTTTTATATACTTCGTGAAAGTTAAATAACGGCTTAAAAACTAAAAAAAATTAGAGCTAAAGAATCAGGAAACATTTTCAACCACTTATCGATCGATACGGAATCTATTAGTGCGCTTTTGACCAGAGGCCAAGATAAGTGAACTGATAAGTCGAGGTTTCCTATTGATAACATCTGTTCTCCCGTTCCTGAATTCTTTAGTTTTCATCATGTTATTATCATTTAAATTTTTTAAAATTACAAGTTTTGGCTTTATCTTGGTTTAATTAGAACATAAACATTAATGTTAAACGTTGTTTTCTGCTGTACGTTGTTCAAAAACGTACTCGCAGGCTCTGCGCCTACGTTTCTTCCCACTTGACGATCTGTTCCTGTCAATTTGTATAATTTTCTTAGTATTTGCAGGGATTAACGCTTTTGTCGGAGAAATTTTGTATAAACTTTACCATCCATATGTCTCTCTCTCTCTCTCTCTCTCTCTCTCTCTCTCTCTCTCACTCTCGCGCCCTTATGGTCGGGCTGGTCGTGTAAAATTGGACTAGCGATAAATTATGGCTCCCTCTCGTCGGGCTCTACCCTCATTCCCAACGCCTTTTAGATACCTTTTGGGTATAACAGCTTTATGAAGTACTTGTTTGACCATCCTATCCGATACTAAAGACCATTAGAGTCGCATCTTGATGCTAATTACATTCTACATTTTCGATTATGACTTGTTTCGCGTTAATCGCTCGACACACCTGTCCTCACTCCGGAAATTTCCTCTCTTGGGCTTCTGGCTAGCGGGTGGGTAGCTAATTACTCGTCGGTGTTGGGCGGCTTTTGGCTGGGATAGGAGTGGATTAGTCGTGATTGCTTTACAGCTTTATCGCAACTTGAATTTGATGAAATCGTCGGGTTGTGTGCTTTACTATAGGTTTAAACAACTAGATTTCTTTAATTCTAAAAAAGCTCGCTTGTTGTCTTGCGTAAAGGAGCCAATCCTTGTGCAATATTTTCTTATCGAGCTCCCGGCTGCTCGGAATTGGAAGCTGTTTAAGTTGGGCGGTCCCATGGGCGCTAAAAATCTTTAAAAAAACGTCTTTTCTATGCTCGTTTTGTACACTAAATTTGGATTTCACACTTTTAGACTGTAAAAACTTCCTGTTAGGCTACGAGAACTTAACTTTAGAGTACAAACTACAAAAGTCACGGGTCGACAAAATACGCTGAAAACGTTTCCAGCGTCGAATTTTGATAGTTTGTGGTCTAAGGGGCCTTGGCGGCCCCCCCCCCCCCAAAAAATCCCCCCCATTAAAAAAAAAAAAAAAAAAAAAAAAACGCCCCCCCCCTCTCTCCCCCACACCCCCCAATAAAAAAAATTTAAAAATTTAAATTTTTTTTTTCAAAAAATTATCCCCCCCCCCGTTTTTCCCCCCCCCCCCCCCTTTCCCCTTTTTCCCTCCTTTTTTTTTCCCCTCCCCCCTCTCCCTCCCCCCCCCCCCCCTTCTCTCTAAACCAAAAAAAATATTAACCAAAAAAAAAAATATTTATTTTTTATTAATTATTTAATAATACTTCCTTTTTCCTTTTTTTTTTTTTCTTTCCCTAAAATTTTTTATTTTTTTTTTTAAAAAAAAAAAAAAAAAAAAAAAAAAAAAAAAAAAAAAAACCCTCCCACAATTTAAAAATATTAAAAACCCAAACAAAACACCCCCCCCCCCCAAACCACCCCCCTTCCCCCCCACCAAAAAAAAAAAAAAAAAAAAAAAAAAAAAAAAAAAAAAAAAAATAAAAAAATTTCTTGCCCTTTCTCTCCTTTTTTTTTTTATTAAAAAAAATTTTTATTTTTTTTTTTTTTTTTTTTAAAAATTTATTTTTTTTATCCACCTTTTTTTTTTTTTTTTTTTTTCTTTTTTTTTTTTTTTTTTTTTTTTACCCCTCCCAAAAAACCTCTTCTTTTAAGACGACGTCCTTCTCGTAGCCTAAAAATATGAAATTCGAACTGGGCACAAAAAAACTAGTCCGGAAAACACGATTTTTTAGGTAGGCCGGCCTATATACATACGTTGCAGATTTTAGCATTGAAGCTCCTGGATTCAGTCTATGGCGTTGAAAACGCTCAAAAAACAACACTCACTTAAAACACTCATGCTCATCATTTCGAAGACGTCATTTAAACGATTTGGTAGTATTAAAAAGGTTTGTGCAATATACTGGCTTTTCTTAGCTTTCTTTTCTCACGGAATTAAAGCCAGAGTTTGCCGATTTTAGCGTTGAAGCTCCTGGCTCATTCTCCGACCCTTAAAACACCCCTTACAAGCTCATGCTCATCATTCCGAAGACCGTTCGACGTCAAGATTGGGGGTTGAGATGTGCTCTGCCGTCTGCTCCCTCCACCAATTCCCTCCACTCTCTCAATCGATAATCGGCGGCTGGATGTCGGCGCCTCCAATCCCTCGCCCAGAGCGAGACGACCGGCTGCCGCAAGCAAAGAGCACACGAAGCACCGTCCCCCCTCATCCTCCTCCCTCCCCCTCATTCTCTTCCTCCCTCTTGCCCTCCATGCAAGGAGTCCCACCTGGCCCCCCTAGTTTGGATAGCGGGAAGAATCAACGGGGTGGTTTGGGTCCAGGCTGCCCTCGGGTTTTTCTATACCCGGCCCCGAACTGCGGAGATTTCTTTCTTTTCCAGCCTACGGTACTTCTGAGCTCCAGGCTGAAGGAATGAGTGAGCAAGAGGTGGTAAAGTAGTAGTACTGGGAGTTTTCACGGGGAGATGGTTTGCGGAGCTTGAAGTTTCGGATTATAGCTCTTAGTGAGGGATCGAGATCTAGGTAGGACGATGTTGAAGCTCATTTCTTGGTCTTTAAGCTAGAACCTCGTGCTCTGGCTTGGATAACCAGAAATTCTGGAGCTTCACACACGTTAATGGAGAGAACAGGCCGCTTATAACGTTAGAGAGAGCAGAAAGAAGATGAAAAACATACTTTTGGACTTTGGAATTGCTCTTTTTGGTAGCTTTTACTTTACTTTTTAACCCTTCTATTGCACGGTTTGACTGTTTACGAGCTCTGGTTCAGAATGGAGCTTCAACTTTAGCATTAGCTCGAGGAGGAGCGCTATAGTTTAATGTCTTTCTTACCTCCTGTTTTGTTTCTTTCACTTTGTAAAATGTAGTTCGATAAGTAGTCCTATTCATCTGCAAATTCCGGGTTAGAATCGAGCTCCAAATTTGGCTTCTTTGGTAGGATAAACGAGTATAATTACGTAAGTTTTTCTTTAGCCTTTTTTTGTCGCTGTCAATTTGTAAGCTCTGTAAGCTCCTGCTAAGGTAAGACTGTCCTGCTTTTCTTGATAGACTAATTTAACCAATCCCTTTATACCCATTGGAATCTTCAATCATGCGGGAAGCCTTCCTTCCTTCCTTCCTTCCGTCCGGTGCTAGGTCGGTGTGGTGGTGGGGGGCAGGAAGGGCGAGGAGGGCTCCTCTCGCCTGTTACCTCTCCACTCTCGGCCCTATTTCCATGTGGCTGGCTCTGTCTTTCTCTCTCTCCCTCTCTGTCTCTCTCTTTCTCCAGCCCCCCACCCTAGAGATATTATTCTGCCGACCCTCGCCTCTACAACCCATTTCCTAGTACTGGTACGGTAGGGTTTCCGCTTCCGCGCCTGAAGCTTTTTCTTGGGTTTTGGGGGCTTTTGCTTGGGAGTGGAACGCTTGGGCGGTTCCCTGTTTCTGACTCATCAAATTGCACTACCTTTTGATCCCTTGGACCCGGTAGTTGGAGACATATAACTTTATCTTTGGCTGACCGTGGGGTTTTCCAAGCTATTTTGTCCCTCCCCTGGGTGAAGTCTGGCTCTATAAAGCTCTATGAACTCCGGAAATATCCCATATTTTACGATTTTCTTTGTCTTTCGTTGTACTCAATCAGATACCTTTAAAACACTACTAACTATTGAAATTTACTGAAAAGTCAAAAAGACTGCACCTCACTTGTACACAACTGATCTAAATACTAACGTTCTGTATTTTCTAGAGTTCTACTTGATTTTTACTATCGTTAGAGCTAAAACTTGCTATTGCCCTTTCTTTGCTTGCTGAGAATCGTTTCTGCCTTCGATATCTTCAATATAACTATGACACTCGAAAACCCTACCAAAACTTTACAAAATGTCTATTCTTTCAGGGGAAAATCGGCCATGGAACAACCGGCCGATGCTCTCCGACGCTCGAAGCGCAAGAAGTTCTTGCTCGACGTGTCGGCGTTGGGAAAGCGAGTGACGCTCCGGGACCAGGATGTGAGTATTGGCTACTTTAGCTTCGCTAATATCGCAAACTTTCTCTACAAATGGAATTCTTCTACACTTTTTGGGGGATTTTGAAACCCCAGCTGATCAGTGATGATTTGTTATGTAATCGCTTCGAAAACTTTCTTTTTCTAAAGCCCTCTGATTCACTATATTGCACCGTGATTTTCAGCGCGAAGAATCCTCGGCAAGCCCCCAGCCACCGCCCACCCTCAGCCCCCAAATGGGTGGCCAGGCCGTGCGAGAGAGCGACGACGAGCCGGAGGATGCAGACGATAGGCGACGGGGAATGCGCGTCCGTAAGGTGCGCATCTTTTCCATCCCAGAAATTGGGATTACAATCAGATTTTCATTTAAAACTGTATTTATTGTATTTTGGAGTTTACCGGGCGTCCTGAAAACTATATTTGCTCGGTTAATCATATTTTTAGCTCCCGCAACGCATCGCCACTTGCTACACACATGATGGCAGCAGCGATGAGGAAGACGTAAAGAGTGTTCGATGGAATTTTATACTTCTCAATTTAGCTTGCCATCATCATGAACGCGCCGCTACCCTGTAGCAAATGCCCAATGAGATTCCAGAATCGCGCCGGCCTCAGCAAACATTCCAAGATGCATAGTGAAGGTGGGTCTGAATAGCTATCCCTGTATTTTGCGGCTGAATTTAGTCTATATATACCGTTAATTCATATATTAACAATTTAATGTGTATTTCTTTAGAGAAGCGGGCTTTCCCCTGTGAAAAATGCGATTTCTCGTCCAACACGCAGAGGCCGTTCAAGATCCACATGAAGTGCCATGAGGTACAACTCTTTTTGAGAATTCAAAACTTCAACGAGCTGATAATTTTCCATATAACAACGCTTTTTCAGCTAAACACCACGTGGGAATCTCCGGCCCCAAGTGTCGTTCTCGCCAATGCCGCCCCGAATTCCGCGCCGGCGAAGCGCACCCAGGATGGAACTCCAATCGGCCGTCCAGTCAGTTTATTCGACTCGGAATTTATTTCCTAGCAGGTACCCAGCCTCGCCGCCACCGCCTCCCTCCGGGCCGCTAGGCTGAAGCTCCCCGTTTCCGCCGAGAACGGCCGCCAATCCCCGTTGTCCGGCGAGCAAAAGCCATCGCCACTCGTCAACAAAAATATGACGTTGAAGACGGCCCTGAAAACCACGCCGCTGTCGTCGATTTCGAGGATCATCAGCAAGTCAAATAATGTATGTTTTTTTAAAAAGTTACGATCTTACAAATAGCGGTTTGAACTTTTTGTGACTTTACATACTTTTATAGGCGATCAACCGGCCGTCAACGTCGAACGGTGCGATGCACCACCTCTTGTTCTCCAGCATCCACCAGCGCGGCACCCCCGTCGGAGCCGCACTCAAATCTCATCTGGGCCTCAGCAGTCAGTGGAAACTCAGAGTTCCTTCATTTAAATTTCAGAAGACCGCTCCTCCCTCCTCCAAACTCTTGATCAAAAGGAGGTCAACGAGCCGGAAAAGCTGCAAAAACCATGCCCGAAAAGTAAGTTGAGGCCTCGATATAAAGAAAGAACATTTTACTTTATTAATTTGACTTATTGACTTTATTATTATTCATTTTTAAGTATTTCTTTTTTAGAGCGGTTCCGTTGCACGGAATGCCCATATCGAACCCATTCTACGGATCACCTCGAAAACCATCGGCGGGCCCACGACAGGACGGATGGGATCAAGTGTGACTATTGTAGCTACAGGTGAATACTTAGACGAACTTTAAACATTTAAAATCTCAATGAAAAAGCAAAATAAAGTCGGTTATTATTGTATTTTCACCAACGTCATGACCCAAAATGTTTTTACCGCTAATTTTTCAGAGGCAACACGGGCGTGATTCATCGTCACCACATGCTCCACACAAACCAGTGGCTCGTCGAATTTGCGAGGCAACGAAAAGCCGACGAGCCGCCAGAGGAGCCCCAGCCCGACCATCCGGCCCTGAAATTGCCCCGCTCGGCTATTAGCACGTCTAATGGATTTGTGAGTTTATAACTTATAAAAAGAACACTATTTTTGCGTTAAATCAAGTTTTAAAATCGAGTAATATCCTCCCGTCGCCGCAGTGTGTACTGGCGCATAGCGTACACATCCGAATTTTAAATTTAAACTTTAGCTTCATCTAACTTCTTTTACAAGATTAAACTTTGCAAATTGCCGAAAAACACGGATATTTCGGCTTCAAGTCAAAAGTTAACATCACAATACAATTATCGGTGTCTCCTGGCGCGTAGCGTACATATTCTACTTTCCTTGCATAAAGTGCGTCTCGAGAAAGTAAACTTTGGTTTTATATGATTTTCTTGTATAAATTTACGTTTTATAACTGGAAGAAAGGTTTATATCTTTTTAATAATAGTTTTATATACAATTTATAATTTTCTTCTGTTCTTTATTACTATTCCCCCCATTTTCCAGCTCATCTGCCCATTTTGCGACTTTGCCACCCGGTTCCCGAACCAACTCATCTCGCACAAACGCCTGTATCACGGATCAAAGGTAAGAGACGCTATAAATATAGTAATATTACTTTATCTTTTCCAGTTCAACTCGAAAGAGTTCTTCTGCACCGACTGCGGCATGGGCTACAAGTACTACGGCCAGTTGAGCGCCCACTGGAAGCTGCGCCACCAAAAGCGCACTCCCCGGCACCGCGTCCAGTTTTATTTGAATGAGATTTTGCGGAAAAGGTTTGGTATTCTCTTTTTTTGTAGAACTTGGGTATTTAGGGATGATTCGAATGGGGTAGAGGAAACGACCGAAATCAAGAAAGAGATCAAGCAGGAGGTGGCCGACGCGAATCTGATGCATAGGTATTGAAAGATCGAAATTATCGGGGGTGGGGAATGCATTTTTAACTTCAGATTTAATGTTTTCCGATAGATGTTGCTATTCCTTCATCGAAATTTTACAAGTTTTGATGATAAATCTTAAAAAATGATTTTTCGATCAAAAATCGCGACTTCGAAAAGGTTCTGAAGTTTTTAGATAGTTTTTGCGCTTGAAATGCAACTAAATCTTATGAAAACACTATTAGAATCTTTTTATTGCATTACTAGTCATTTCTAGACGTTTATGACCCACCGATAATGCAAAAGAACCAACCTATCACCTAAACATAAACTTTAGCGATTCGAACAGCTCGGATAACATCAAGCCCGAGAAAAAGGAACAATTCAACGATAGCCAGATCAAGATTGACCTCGATGAGGTAAGTAACGAAAATATCCTTGGATTAATAACTCATTTAGTCGCTGGCCCTGTCGCTGGAGGGAAGCCAATCGGGCTCGAGCAGTCCACTGTTCCACTGCCCGAAATGCCCGTTTGTGGCCAGCAACAGGGGCCGAATGCAGCGCCACGAGGACAAGCACGTCATCAAGAGTGACCATACAGTACGTTAGATCTCCGGCTTCTTTTTATTATTCTCAAAACTTTAGTGTACTCATTGCTCGTACTCTTGCCGCAATGAGCACCTGATGCAGAGCCACATCAAACTCCACACGCAGTCGTCGTCGAAGTCGAGCGAATCTCCCGGTGCCAAGTAACGATTTAGAAAAAAAAAATAATATATAGCTTTACGGTAGTTAATTTAAAAACATAAACTTCCAAATACTACTCGAAAACTTAAAAATTTTAAAAATTATAAATGCCGATATTTGAAAACAATCACCGCAATTTTTCGATCAAATATTACCAGGATAAAATTATCATATTTCACATAAAGCTAACATTTTACAAAAGTTTGCTTACAAATTTTATCTTTTAGAGTCTATTTTAATAAGAAAATTACACTAAAAATCCTAATTTTAAATTTTCTATGAATTAATTTCTAGTTAAATTAATAAATTCAATATTTTATTAGGTCGTTTAATGAAAGCTCGATTAAAAATTTAACTTAATCACTGCCACATAATCAAATTACTTCAAATAATCACTGCCCTTTTCTTCGATCATATCGATGTACTTTTGCCGATTGGATGGCCTTGAGATTTTTTGGTGTTCTAGGCCGCCGTGCTTGCCGATGCTGGCTGCGGAAGCTGCCGCCGCTGAGGGGAACGGGGAAGGAGGAGGGAGAAGGAGAAGGAGGAGAGAGCACGACAGACCGAGAGACGCGCGAGAGTCACACTCACCCATCCACCCCATCGCTGCCGCTTCTCCTCGACCCAGAAGGGTAATCTTTTATACCGCCCGCCCCCTGTGGCTAGCTGCTGGCTGGCTGGCCCCGTCAGCCAGAGAATGTGCCCTGGAAAAAGCTGTGAAGAGGGCGGTAATTTCGGCGGATGAGAAGCCGTACCCTATCTCGAGAAATGGGGATGAGGATCTTAGACATTTTAGGGGGGAATGATTTGGGATTAAGCAGAAATTCGAAAAATACGATTGCTTTTAATTAACTTAATAGAAAATTAAAAAATTTTATAAAGGAAAAGGTGAAAAATCCAATAGAATTCGAATTGAAGAAAAAACAGGAGTACAATAGCCTGTGATTATTATTTATTTCCTAAACATAATCGCAGAATTAAGCGGATATTCGAAAGATAGGATTACTTTTAATTATTTTCTCGAATTTCTTAATTAAATAATCGCCAAAATTTATGAAATTATGTAAAGGGAAATCATGTTGTAAATTTGGTACAGCCGATCACATGAAATTTTCGTCATCTGGACAGCCGCCTTTTTACTTTCTAGAAAGCTATAAATACAACAAAATTATGGGCCTAATCGTTAAAAAATCATAACTTCCAGCCTCAAATTGTAGCATTAAATCATAATTTTCTATACTATTAAACTATTATACAAATTTTATAGTGAATCTGAGAACTCGTCGGACGTTACAAAGGATATTCCCAACGATATTCGCTTTGTTGACGTAAGTTTTTCACGAAATTCTCCAAAAATTGTACTTTAGAAAGACGGCGTCAAGAAGAACAAGTGCCCGCACTGTCCCTACACCACTAAGCATCCATGCGATATGAAGGTATCACTCGCTTACCAGAATATAATTTATTTCTCATTTCTAGCCCCATTTGACGATGCACGGGGCGGAGAAGCGGAAATTCGCCTGCAAATACTGTACCTACTCCACAAAACGGTTTGTTTATACGAATAATGTTTTTAATTTTGTATATTTTATCAATCTTAACTGCTCTCTAAAAATAAAAAAATAAAACCGATTTTTTTTCGGCCAAAAATGTCCAATTTTCGACAAAAATTTTACCTAGAAATTTTTTCGAGCTTTGATTGATTGTTTCGACTTAAAATATAGTTAAATTTGACTAAAAAACGCTATTAAAACTTTTTAAAAAATCCCCCACCCCGCTAATGCGAAAGAACCATATTTTTAACGTTTTTTTTTTAGTTTCCGCTCCCTGCAAGTCCACATGCGACTCCACGGAAAACGGATCCGCGACCCGATTGAGGAGATGGGCCTCGCTAAGGTTAATTTTTTTGATGATGTAAATTTATTTGAGTTTTAGGAGCTTCAAATCCGGCATAAAACCTACGGATTGATCGGGACGCGAAAGTACGGCCTGAAGGCCCGGCGCTACTTCTGCGCGAGTTGCCCCTTCAACTCGGTGTATTGCTATCAGCTGTGGCATCATGCTAGGTGAGGGTTGTGGTTTTATGGCTTGTATTGCTATATTTTTCATGAGCTTAAAATCTAATAATCGGCTTATATTATTTTTAATATTCAATAGTTTAATCATATTAAAATTGTTTTATTCTAATAATAATGACTTGTATTATTGTAAGCCTTTTGTAGTATTTCCGGTTTCCTGGGGTGCCGGAATGGTGAAGACGACATTAGTGCGTCAATCTCGCGCGCCCCCATCCCCCAGCCCCATTTTCAGCATTTTCAGCATTTCTGAAAATACTGAATTTCGGCCATATAAATATAACCTTTCCTAATCACCCATCATCGCCACCTTGGCCGAGTGGTCTAAGGCGCCCGACTTATGATCGGGTCCGGGTAACCGGGCGCGGGTTCGAACCCCGCAGGTGGCAAACTTTTTGCTTTTTGCCCTAAATTTTTGCCGAACCTTTGTATCACCCCGGGTTTCAACCCATCCCGTTTTCTGGCGCGTTTGACCGCTTTATCCGCGAGAAAAATTGGAATTTTCCGAATATAAATAGAGAAAGTGTTTAAAGATCTGTTCCTATTTCTTGGCCTAAAAAATTTAAAAAATTTATATAATTAAAAAAGTTATGTATTAAAACTGCAAAAATCACCGTTTTCGATAAAAATTTCAAAATTTGAAACTTTTTAGTGTTTTCTAAATAGTTTTTTGCTTTGTTTTATTGCTAAGTTTTACTAAAAAACTATCAAAAACGCTTGCTATAGCGTTACTATACATATCTAGAATTATAACGGGATCCATGGAACCACTAAAAACCTATTTGTGTTATTTAATATTTTTTACAGGCGCCATGTGCTGCAACGCCACCCCGACGCCAAGCAGTGCCCCGCCTGCAGCTACTCCACCATTTTCCCGCAACGCCTTGCCGACCATACTCGGCTACATCCACAGCTGGCCAACGGCACCGCCGAGCCGTCCACCTTTGGAGCGACCGCCACGAAGCCGGGCGAGCACAAGTGCGAGTACGTTTTTTTCGTTTAAATTTTTAATTTTTGATAATATTTCATCTTCTAGCCATAATTCTGAATTTTCTTATTTATTATCAATTTCCTTGCAGCATGTGCCCCTTCCAAACGGACACCTACTCCCGTCTCTGGGGCCACAAGCAAAAGCACGAGAATAACGGGAAATTTGTATGCACGCAATGCTCTTTCAGGTAGGCTTAATTTCTGGGTTTTAAAAGTTTGAAACTTTTAAATTCAGAACTAAATCAATTTAAACGACCTTGAGCTTGAAAATGCTCTTTTTTAGCACTGGCCGTGTCAAAGATTTGGTCACCCATCAGCGTCTCCATGAAAATAATCGCGCTGGATCGTCTGATGGCTCAGAAAACCGGTAAAGATTTATAATGCTAATAAAATAAGAATTTTTACATTTTTATAATTTTTTATGCCTGCGCCTTTCTAGTTAAATTTTTATTTTTATTTTTAGGGATTCCCAAAACGAAATGGAAACCCTGGAAGAATACAAGCCGAAAGTCGGAAAGCGCTCGAGTCCTCCGGGCGAAAATTACGATCTGGCTTCGGATCCGCCGCCCACAATTGAGAGAGAAGGATCTCCAAGGTGAGTTTTACCTTTATTAGTTTTAGATATTTTTCTTTACTTTATTCGAAAAAACACAATTATTTAGTGACCTGGGAGATTCACCGCCACCTCGTGCTGGCTCTGGGTCTGAAGGAAAGGACGAGAAACCGGGTAAAAAACTTTACCTTTAATTTATGAATTTTTATGTATAACCAGGGTTGAAAAGTCGCGTCGCGACTTTTCAACCCTGGCCCCGTCTGACCCCATTTTTTTATCCTTCACTTTGCATAATTGTCCTAAATTCAGATGCCAAAAAAAATGAAAAACAACCTCTCCCATCCTTTTTTATAGTCGACTCCCCACTTCCGGTCAATGCTAATTATGCCTAACAAAGAAGTTTTCACAAAAACTTAAAGGGCTAGTTCAGCGAATAAAGTAAAAGAATTTCCGCGGCCAGGAGTCGAACCCTCTCTGCGTTTTTGTGTCTGCGCCTCTCTAATTCCCCCGCTATCTAATAGCTGTCGTAATGGGTGACTGTTCGGGCGCACTGTGCCTACGTCCATAGTTTCCCAAGGTACCAGCCCAAGCTCTAAAAGTTGAACTAGCCCTTTAAATGTAATGTCGAAAAAAGGTAATTTTGTTGAATCTCTTATGCGTGCAGTCATCTCCAGGCGATTACGCACCTAGTGACGTATGATACATACCTTAAAATTCCTCCCCTATCGAGATATCCTCCGGACAGACAAAGGGAAGTGGATGCAAAGTGGCACACACACACACACAAACACTATTTTTTTATATATATGTATAATTAACGAATTTTATTAATGTTTTAGAATGTTCATCCCCTCCCGACCTTGGCATGCCGTTCAACGAGCTGCCCGATCCGGAAATTGTTTTCAAGCGCATGCGGGCTCTCCTGCCGCCTCACCTTCAAATGGCCTTGGCTGGTAAGTAGTTTCCTTAAAATTAGTATTTGATTAACATTCAGATTATAAAATTTTCAATAAGTATAAAGAAATTAAAAATGCCATTTCCAGGTTGCAAATCTGAATCGGCCAGCTCGGCCACCAGCACCGAGGCCATGATGAAATGTGTGGACCCGAATTGCCCGTATGTCGAGGAGGATCCCCTCTTCTACCGTATCCACCTCGAGATGCACGGCGGAAAGCGGAACTTCCAGTGCTCGATTTGCACCTACAAGTGAGACAAAATTTATTAAAGCATTTACTGAGTTTTTTAGCACTCACTCGCCTGACGCTCTCTGCAATCATTTGGATTTGCATACGGAGGGATATGATGCGTTGAAGTAAGTTTTTTTTATCAGAAAAATTTTTTAAATAAGGCTAGAGCAATACAAAATATTTTAATCGCGTTTTTGTAAATTTACTTAACGTTATTCGAAAATCCGCAATTTTGCATCGAAAAATCGATGTTTATTTTTAAAATAAAATTTCTAAAATGTTGGACTTGCCAATTGTAGAAACAAAAAAATAAATTTCCTTTTTTCCAGGAAAATCTCAACGGCCTCATCTCGTCGTATGGCCCGAGAAGTGGAGCAGATCGTCGAGGGCGGCGAGGTCTACTCGTGCGTCCATTGCAACTACCGTACGATGTGCCTCGAAAAATACAAACTACACAGGGTGGAGCATGCGCAGGTACATTTTTTAATTATAGATATTTATATAAATTTATGTATTTATTGTTTGTGGTTTTTCATCATTAATATTTATCCTCTATTAGACGCAACAAAACCGACTGAAATCGCTGATCAAGCGCAGCACACAAAATGAGGAGGAATGGGTGAAGCCGCGGCTTCCCACGAAGAAGCGGGCTAACAAGGAGGTAGGAATTTTTTTACTTCGTTGTCAGTTCTGGTTCATTGGCGGGGGCGGGAAATAAAATATAGCCTATTTTTAGTGTTTTTTTTAGTTGTTTCAAATTGCTAAAAATTTTAGCCCATTTTCGTTGATTTTTAAACAAGAAGTCAGCTTTTCGATGACTTTAATGGGTTTTATAAAGTTTCTGTAGCTAAAAACGGCGTAAAATTTTATTAAAATGGTTGATAAGAAACCATTCAGCGTTTCCAAAACAGGAAAAATTAATTCCTTCCCTGTCAAACCCCCCCCCCCCCTCGCTAACGAACCAGTACCTAAATCCTTGATATAGAAAAAGAATACAAGCTACAGTAATTAAGCTATATTAATTCGATTAGATTATATTCACCTTTTTCAGTACTTCTGCCGTCACTGCGGCTTCGAATCCTCCTCCCTACTCACCTACGAGCGCCACGTCCAGATGCACGGTGCCCCCGGCTATTTCAAGTGTCGCCATTGCGACTATGCATCATCTACGGCGATCGTCGTCGATTTCCACGAGATTCACCATCATATGGACCAGCCGCTCACGCAGCTCATGAAAAAGAAGGTGCTGCAAGGCGGGGAGAGCAGCCAGGTGCGATATTTGGGCGTTTTTGAGAAAGTTATTTAGATGTCCCCGGAAGAGCTGACAGCCACGCGTGTCCGAATGACCGGCCAAGAAGTGCGGTGTGATCGTTGTGACTGGACTGGATTTGAGGTGATTTAAGGGTTTCGACGCATTTTATGGATAGATTAAGCTTTAAAATTATAATTTTAGGTTCTTTTGCGTTATCGGGGGGGTATTTTTGCCTATTAGCTGTTCGTCCGGATACGCGTATTACTGTCATGGCAGATATTTTACTAGTTTTTTTGTACGGTTTAGATAGATTTAACATGCAACCATTTACAAAACTTGAAAATTTGAGAGAAAATGAGAAAATGAGAAAATTTGGTCCTAAGAAAAAAATGCCCCTCCCCCCGATAACGCGAAAGAACATTAAAACGTTTTAAGAGATTTTACATTTGTTTACAAATTCAACGTTCAATTCATATAAAAAAAGCCAAAAAATAAAATAACTTTTTGCTCCGTTTAATATGTTTGACAATTTTTACTGTTACAACATTTAATTTACATTTGACAACTCTCCAATTTCAGCGCGCCGCCCTGCTCGCCCATTTCTCGGAGAACCACGTGCAAACTGAGGAGGACCGTGAACGAGCAACAGACATGTATCTCGGCCTCCACCCGAAGAATACGATTAGAACGATTGCTTCTGCCTGAATACGCCCCATTTTCTACCAGTGCTTTTGAAACGGTTAATTCAGATACCCCTGGACTTTCAGCTAGCCACTCAATTCCCAATTCATGCTCATCCAATCCTGCCAGTTAGGCCTCCATTTTGGCTCACTCGATTTTTTGGCACTGTGCTGTTAGCGGGGGGCGGAGGGTTTCAGGGGGTTGAAAACATAACTTACGTCTAGTCTAATAAATTTTTACGGCGTTATCAAGTATAGAAGCTTTATAGAACTATTACAATTTTCGAAAGATTTAGATTTTTGCTAAAAAATGTATCAAATGGCGAAATTTTGAAGTTCTAAAGCGTTTGAAAAGGTTTTTATAGGTTTTTTTAATTTAAAATCTACTAAAACTTAAAAATACTTAAAACGCTAAAAAATATGCGAAATGCGGTTTTAGATACATTTCTAACCTTCTCCGAGCCCTCCCCCCCCCCGCTAACGGGCCAGAACCGATTTTTACGCGCTGACACTTGACACCTTCTCGTTGCTCCTCCTTCCCGTCCTCATTACGTAGTATCCACTGCCCACCCAATACGCGGGTTTCCCCTCCCATTAGATGACAAGACAACGTTTTTGGATCTTTTCTCATAAAAGGTGGCTGTGTTTTCTACCGGATATTGTTCTGCTGTGTGCTTTCTCTGTCTCTCTCCCATCTTTCGTGCCCAACCCCGGTATCCACACCCATATTACCCACGTGCCAACCGTTTTTTTCTTTGATCAATTCCCGCTCCTCCTCTTCCGACCGGCTCATTTTTCGCTACTTATTTTTGCGAGAGATCAAATGGTTGATAAACGTTTTTAAAATGTGTGAAAAAGTGCGTTTTATTGTTGTCAACTACTGTGAACTTGTGGTAACTTCAAAGTTAGTTTTTGGGCAAAGCAAGTTTTTATGCGTGGAAAGTGGTTTCGTGCTTTCAACATTTTTTTAGATACTTTAACCAAGCCGTTCATTTAATTGAGAGGGGAAGGGTTGCTGGGTGATCGGGTGTTTTAGAAGCTTTTTTCACATCAGGCTTCCTGATCTTCGGGGAGCTGCAGCGGGATCGGCTCGAGCACGGGGCCTGTCTCGACTTTATTCTGAAATTATCGAATATCAAAGCATTAACTTATTGTGTGTTTTAACATTAAGCTTTATTAATTAAAAGAAAGGTATTCGGAATAGTAGGATTGGATTCGAAAGATCAATCTCGGCTCACCTGCTCGACATAGCGATTATGAGCAGCACCCTCAACGTGTTTCCGGAGACAGTCGAGTTCCTCGTTGCTCTAAGCAGAATTCTTAAGTTTGGGACTTTAGCATTATCGGGGTGGGGGTCTACAAGTCCAGTTAGGTTTCGTAATGTAATAGCACTATTTTAACGGTTTTTTTAAAGATTTAGCCAGATTTCAAGTGAAAAATCTACCAGCAAAACCTTTAATTTTTAATGCGTGTCAAAAATTGAAGCGTAAAAGGTTTAAAAAGTTTAAACTGCTTAAAAATTGACAGTTTTCTCGGAAAATTTTCTTTACGTTTAGTAGTAGTAAATTCTATTTGGAAACACCTATTGTAGACAAATTCTATTGAAGAAGAATTCTTTTTAAAATTATTTGAACCTTGTAGCAAAATTCCCTCACCTTTCTGCCCCATTCGGCTGGCGGGCGCCCGGTGCCGCGCGCGATTTTTGGCGCCTGATAGCGCTTGGGGAGCTTAAAATTTGATGTAATTTTTGACGTGAGACTTTTAATCATTTATACCACAAAAATATACATAAACTACAAAACTCTAGCGTGCATTAGGAAACATAAAAACATCTGGACAACAACATCGAGCAACCGGCGGGCTAAGTCGCCGAACGGGCGAGCGACCGACTGCCAGGTAGCCGATGTCGACATTAATGGTGAGCATGAAAATGAGAATGGTTCGATGTTCGTCGTCGGGAATATTGGGCTTAATGGATTACGGTTTTTTGTGGTTTTGTTTTGAACTTACGGTAGGTTATATACAGATAGATCGCCGAACAGGGACAACAGAAGATGGGACGCGGACTGCCACTAGACCATTCGACATTATATGTATACGTTACGACGTTACGACGGGGTTAATTATATAATTTTCTGGATTATAACATTAAATAACGTCCTAAAAAGCTCGAACAAAGGTTCTTTTGCGTTATCGGGGGTGGAAAACCGAAATTGTTCTGCATCAAAGTCCGGATATGCCTAATAACGCCATAGAAGGGATTAGAGACGTTTTTTTTGATAAATTTAGATGTATTTAGACTGAAAAACTATTCAAAATCTATAAAAAATTTTTAATTCCAAGTTTTGGGCGAGATTTGGCAATTTTTATAGAAAACTCGGTTCTGGTGCGTTAACGGGTGGGGGGAAGCGGAGATATAGAGAGGTCACCAGTATATCGATGGGGAAAGGTGTCCCCCACCCCCGCTAACGCACCAGAACCGAAAAAACCGCTACATTGGCTTTTTTGTCAAAAATTTATAGAGGTTTTACGTTTCGCCCTCTATTTACATTATAACAATCCTAAAGAAAAAGATCCCCCGATAGTGCGAAAGCTCCGGAGAAAATCTCGAAATTTTTCGAGACTTGAACGCCGGCCTACCTCAAAAATGACGCGACGATCGCCGTAGGAGCGATGGTCAGTCTGTCGATCGTGTTTTGAGGCCACATTGAGTTTTGGCTATAATTCACTAATTTTACATCCTAAAAACATTGCTTACCGGATGGGTGAGGTCATCCTCATCAGGGTCAATGCCCATCCGGAGTGCCTTGTTGCGAGTTTGCTGCTTTTGGCGCTCGGCCAGCTCTTTCAGCTAAAATCATTTTTAGAAAACCCAAAACTTTTAGAAAGTTACATCATATTCCTGACGCTCGTTGCGCAGCTCGAGATCGTACTTCTCGGCCTCGAGGCGAACGATGCGGGCGTGGATCTGCTTGATGTGCACCTTCAGGTCGTTGGCCAGCAGCGTTGAGGGGTCGATGGGGCGGAGGACATTGGCAAGGTAATTCTAAAAATAGAAAAATATACGTAAATTAATTTTCTAGAAAGCCAAAGCCAAAGCGTAAACGTAAGATGGTATTTATTAGAAATCCGCGGGTATTCTACAATTTAATTAAGAATAAAGTAGTTTTTAAACTAGTAGATGACCACGCTGACCCTTAATAAATACCTTATACTGCCCGAGTGTTAGTGAGCGAAAAATGGTCGTGTTACTTTGCTATCATTTACATTTTGGAAAAAGAAATAAACAGGGAGATCGGCGAAGGCATGAGAGATCACAATCCTAACTACTACCGCACTGCTTCAATTTGATGGCTTCTGAATATTGATGTTTCAATTAGACTTTGTAAAATCTTATAGGGCACCTTTCGAGCCCTTTCGCGTTCCTCCTCGCCAATGGCCTCCTTCTTGCCGGCGATGCCCAGCGTCGAGGCGCGGCGTTTGCTTTTTGGAGGGATGACAAAGTTCCTGGAAATGCATTGAATTTTTGATAAATAAATCTGGACGTGCGTACGAAAATGTACTATACACGATTTTCCGGAAAATGTAGCGTAACGGAATCTCCGTTTTAGGAATTGTATCCTAGCGGAACGCCAGTTATCTTTAGGATAATTTTTTACCTCTTGGCCGTCACCTCAGCGTCAGGTTCGAGCAGGTCAATCCCAAGAAAGCCACCGCCAGCCATGCTTTGTTGCTTGCGACGACGCTCTTCCTCACGGCGCTTCCGCTCCACCTCCATCGCCGCCTTTTTCTCTTCCTAGAAATGGACTCATTTGGAAAAGGAAGAAGAAGCCGGGAAACTAGCAAAGCAAAAAGCAAAATAAAGAAGAAAAAGAGCTGACAAAAACGCACCTCCTGACGGCGATGAGCTTCTTCAACAGTGCGACGTTGCTCGTTGTAGGCCTCCTCTTCTTCGCGCCGTTCAGCACGGCGTCTCTCGCATTTCTCTTTGAGGGCCCTGAAGGATGCTAGGCATAATTTTTATTTTAGTTTATTTTGGGTGAGAACCCGGACTTTAGGGAACCAACGACTTCAAGGTGCAACTCACTTGAGCTCCTCCTGCTCGCGGACCTTGTCTATCTTGCGGCGCTGCTCGTAGTCCTGGATCTGGGCCACTTTCTCGTCCTCCTGGCGGCGTTTTGCGGCCTAAAAATCATAAAATTTTAAGGAAAATCAGAGCACCAGCATCGCAGCCTCGGCCTCGCTCATCTCCTTCGGCTCCTCGACCTTCTCCACCGGTTTCGCCGGGCTAAAATAGTTTTTATAAAATATTAATAATGCTAAAAAACCTCTTGGGAGCTGCGACAGGCAGAGATTCAATCACCGATTGTTCTTCTTCTTCCTCCTCCTCCTCGGACTCGCTCTTCACCTCCTCCTCACTTTTGTCCGAGCTAAAAATAGCCTTATAAATCTAGAAAATAAATTTAATTTGTTAGTGAACAGATAGATGATTTATGCAGTGCAAAGCGGGTGGCATGCGTTTGGAAAAAACCGCGGAAGCTGAAAAATAGATTTTAAGTCCTTGGGAAGCTTTTTGAGAGCATGTTCTACTAATAAAACTTTCGATTAAAAACGCTAATTTCTGATTTTAGGAATAAAACTTATGCTTTATGATTTTATGAATTGAAAGTCAAGATTCTTTTTGATAAAGTTACAAATATCCGTTTAGCCGCCGACCGCCCCCCATCAACAAACCCACCCGCCCGAGAGAGAGGGGGGCACCCTGGGGAGGCGCGCAGAGACATTTTCTTCCCGCGTGACCCCACCCCGCATCCCTTTAAAGCACCTTCAGCGGTAGACTACGCGGGCTCCAAATTACGCAGAAATAGGCGTAAATAGGTGCCTACGTAGTCCGTGCGTCCTCCGTCCTTCTAAGAAAAAATAGCTAATTTGCAGGAAAAGACAAGAATAAACCGTAATTAACTATAAAAATGCTCTCAAACAGCTAGCTAAGTTTATTTTCCGAAACAAACCTCTTTACAC